AAGGATATGGTTAAGCTTTTTCTAGGATGTAAGTCTAAGCCATGCTGTGTTATATCTATTTGTTCGTTAAAGATCTTAAGTCATTGTATTATTAGGGAGACAGTAGTCTGTGAAAAATACAGAAGCTCATCCTTTATAAAAGGACAAAGGAAGAATGTTTAACTGCTGTCACTTCTTTTCCCTCTGGCCTTTCAAGAGGACCGCTGGAGCCCAAGAGCCCCCTTTGTCTGCCTTCATTAAAATGAAGCCCAGACAGCTGCAGCTGGCACCAAGCGAGGCTGCGGCAAGTGGCGTCCTTGGCCTCCTGCGTCCGCCGTGGAATGTGGATGGCATTTGGGTCCAGCCTGTGCAGGGGTGAGGCATCAGGACATGTTCAGCAATGAACTGCAGACTTTCTTCAGCCATTAGATTTAGTTTTAGGATATAATCACCTGAAACTGTAATCAAAGGTCCTTTTCAAAATTTCTCTCTCCCAGAATGAACTAAAAGCCTAATGAATGTGGCTGGTCCTGTCGGCCATTCAGCGCACCCATTCCCGACCCTTCTGATAAAGGGGCATTGTTTGCAGGCCGTCTTTTGTGCTCTTCCTGCCTCTGTTAATGATTCAATTACCAGGAAGTAAAGAGGATGGGATAAATTTGTAGATAATACATCTGACATACTCTTAGACTTCATCCTTTAAGGAAAATCCACAATGTAGAGATGAAAATTTATGTGGAAAAAATGTATTACAGGAATCTACATCGAGTACTCTACATTTGTACAGTGCCTTTAAACAGATTTAATCCTATATGATCCTCGTCACTGACTCCAATAAAAGGAGGGCAGGTGATGGAGTGGGTCTTTCTTCAGGGAAACAGGTAATTACCCACTTGAGGTAAATGCCAGGTTCTGGACCAGACTAGGTCTCATGAGCTGTTGGAGATGATAAAGAAGAGACAATTGACTTAACTATGCAACGTGTCACAGAAACTCAATTCTAAAACTCTTAGTGGGCTAGGGGAACTATTTTGCTTTGGCTGGATTTTTTAAATTAGTCACTGCCGCTGGTGTTTAGCTTTCTCAGGGTTTGTCGCACAGCATCCTCCAGGACTTTTTTTTACCTTGTGGGTTTCCTTTCATGGGTCAGTTTATTGAACTGGACGTGTGACAGAGCAAGCAAAACCCAGTGTCTCCACAATCCTAGGAAGGCTCAGAGGACTTTCTGTCCCCAGTGACCATGGGTATAGGAGTTTCAAAAGGAACCACGGGTAAATTTGCAGGCTGTGAGGAGGAGCACAGAAGGTATCTGGTCAAATGCCATTTTTAGAAGGATAAAAGGAAGGTTAAACAGCAGCTGAGATCTCTCGGCTACTATGGAAAAACCAGGGAGACCCCCTTGTCGGGTAAGCCCTGGGTGGGCGTTCGTCCCCTTCAGTCTTACCCGCTGTCCTGCCTCTCGGTTCCAAAGCCTGCTTTCCACTTTCTCAGTCTGTATCTCTTTTCTAGCAGATGCCTGTAATTCAGTGAGACGTCCGATTTGGCTGTCTCTTCGATCTGTGCCCAATTAAGTCTAAACCTCCTGTGCTTACTTATTCATTTGAGGGACGGGACAAGGTGCTATGACAGCTCGCTCCTGAGCAGGGAACTGCAGATGCAGCATTTCCTGCCACGCACAGAGAAGGCTGCGTTTCCAGCTGTTTATGTTAAAAGGGTCTCTTTTCAACCCAGCTTCCTTTCTCTCTCGGTCGAGTGGCTTTTATGTAGAGGGTCCACCCTGCACTGCACGATGTATTGGATTTTGCGTGTGTGTTCTGCTCTGTCTGCTCCTTCACAGTGAGGGCTGTGAAGAGCAAGAGACCCCGTTGTACTCACTTGGCAACCCCAGCCTAGCACGGGGCTCCCGCAGGGACTCAGTGAACGGTGGGTGAGGGAAGGCGGGTCCGGAGCGCCCTGGAAGCCGACGTGCCCCGGGTCGCCATTAGTGCCGCCTCGCTGACTCTGTCGCTGCGTTTGGGCAGAGGGAAATCTCAGTGAACTGGGCATCGGAGGATGGTGAATTCGTGTTGATTGTCTCATACTGTCCCTGGAGAAAATAGCTGGCTTCGCGTGAGCCTCGGCTTGACACCCAAGTTTAATAGTGGGTACGTCTATGCCCTGGTTTTGTTGCTGTTGTTGTTCTTAGTTCCATTTTATGCGGAGCAAGTCCCCTCCCGGCTTTAGAGATGCCGTGCTTTCTGCCTCTCGATGGGAGGGAGCTCCTTGGCACGGCTCTCGGAAGCCCCGGGTAATGTCGTGCAGTTTTGATGGCATCTAAGAGAGGGTGGGACTGACTCAATTGAAGCCATTTCAAGAAGCGGCTCCTTTCAGCCAGGCAACAAGGAGTGTCTTGTTCTGTCCTCTGGAGTCCCTGTGAGGGGCCGCCGTGTCTAAGGGATGCCATTAGCTTCCAGGCAGCATGCCACAGGAGCGAAAGATTTCATCTGGACTTCTGGAAGCTGGCTGCGGGGTGAGGCCCCCACTAAAACCGGCCACTCAGTGCCAGAGACGTTCCACGGCCGGGGGGTCCCACATGCAGGACGGCGGCAGGGCCGTGTAAAGACGCCGTGGTGAGCCCGTGATGAGTCTTACGAGTTGTGTACGGCATACAGAGACGCACAGGGCTCTTGTTAGGTTACTCTCGGCAAACAGCTCTTCATCCTTAAGATACTGTTTAGTTTTCAATTGCCTCTGTGCTTTGGGAATTCTAGTTGAGCCTGAATTTAAAAAGAGATCTTACGCAACAGAGAGATATCAAAGATTTAAGTGTTTGCTTGGTATTATTTTAAAGGAGGTTGTGCTTCTTGTTCTTATAAACCATCCTAAAGCCCTTTGTCCTGTATCAGGGAGAGAGTTTTTAAAAGCAAGATGGTGTCATCAGTTTCTGTGTAAACTGTGTGTATTACTCCTTGACACACCAGCTCCACCAGGGCCCATCCCCATTTTCTTTTAAATAAGTCTGTCTTGCAGCAGGCTGCAGCTTCCGCCCTTCCTGCCTTCCCTCGTTATTTTGTAAGCACCTGCTAGGGAACGCTACAACACTGAGTCACTGATCTCCGGCTGCCTGGCTTATATTCTGATCTTACCACTTAGCAGTTTTACAGTGAGCAGTACTCCAGACTTGAGCTTTGTCCTCTAAAAAGGGTAGAAATAATAAAGGTAGTATTTTCAAGATTGTTGTAAAGATTAGATGGTACTCGCCAAATACAAAAAAGTATGGTACCTTGCACATACGTGCTCCCTAAGACTATTTACAAGACCCAATTTCTGCCCTTGGGGAGTTTATGGCCCAATCAGAGAAACAGACAAGGTGATAAAAGATTGGGGATCAGTGTGCGATGAGTGGGAATCTTTTATCAGAGGTCAGCATTTATTGAACTTCTGTTGTGCGCAGGCAGTGTTCTAGAGGTAGTGTGGTGAACCGAGTAGGTAAGATGCCTGCCTTCAGGAGGCCCACAGCTGCCCAGCGTGTGACAAAGCTGTGCAGAGGGGAGCGTGGGGACAGGAGCATCAGGAAGGGATGGGGACGGCAGTGTGAGTCATGCATCAGAGGCCATCTGGAGGAGGTGAGGCTTGTGTTCTCAATACTGAGTGGATATCGTGAACAAAAGCAGTCAGGTACAAAAGCACACAGGATTGTATGATTCCATTTTCATCGAGTACAAGATTGGAAGAACTTGTCTATATGGTGGAAGTCAGAACAGCAGTGGCCTTGGCGGGTGGTTACTGGATGGACAGGCACAAAAGGGAACCTCCTGGCACGTCTGTATCTTGATCTGTGGCACGGGTATGTGGGTTTCCCTAAATACTGAGATCTGTATGCACTGTAGCACAGTGCTTTAAAATAAAACAATTTGAGATGGTGATGGTGAGTGGGCAGAGCTTGCTAAAAACAGAGAGAAGGTTGTCCTTGAGAGTGAGAAGAACAAATAGGAAAGATGTGAAACAGTGGGAGGCGTTCCTGACTGTAAGAAGTCTGCTTTGCCTGCATGGAAGGACGGGTGCACGTCAGGGCGTGAAGATGGGGTGACAGTGAGACGCATCTCTCAGGTGCAGGCCGTTACCAGGGGTAAAGGCACCCCTTCTTACGGAGGTGGAGTGGCGGGGCAGACGCTGACCTTGGTTTGGATAGTTAATCTCGGAACTTCCTCCTTCAGACGGGCTCCTAGGACGCCTACAGGAAATGATGGATGTCAAGTGCTGTATGTGCCGTGTAGTGTGTTTAATAAATGCTTCTTAAAAGATTTAAAGTGTGTACGTGTGTGTGTGTGTGGTTTAGTTAATCACAGTCCTAACGCTTCCAAATCAGAAACTCGGGGTTACTGTATTACGTAGTGCTTGCTTATCTGAACCTTTAATCCTTTTGTTAAATAATTACTCTGTTTCATGTAATTATAGCTGAATATTGTATAAAAAGTCTTGGTTTTGTCCCTTAAATTTTTTTGGCTGTAGTCACTAAACCATTTTAAGCATCTGAGAACAGTCAAAGAATGTCTGTTTCAATAAGGTTTGTATTTGGCAATACTAGTTGTATGAGTAATGAAAGAACTTTAAATGTCAGGTTTCTCATTTTTTTCAAAAATGGTTTGAGTTTGGAGGAAAGGGAAAGGAAGAAGTGGAGAGAGAATTAGGATTTTTTTTACTTTTCTGAAATGTTAAACATGAGATTGAGAGTAGTAAATCTTTTTGTGATTTTGTTATTGTAATCAGCTCTTTATTACATGTTAAGTTGTCATATGAAAAATTCCATTTAATCCCAAGCCAAATTCATTTAGAACTGTTTGACCGTGACTCGTTCGGGGCCTATTTTAGATTGTTCAGATTATCATTTTTAAGTAACTCTTACCCTTGTTTTGAAGGCCAGCTGCTTACCTCTCTAGAGACTCTCCCCTGTTTTGGAGGAATGCCTTGGCATTCTCAAACATACTTCATTCTGTGTTTGAGCACCTTGAGTCTCAACTGGCCGTGTCCTCTGTGTTTAGGAGTGAGCGGGCCCGCTGGATAACCGCCCTAGGACACAGCAGTGGGAAGCAGCCTCCAGATCGAACCTGTAAGTACCTGGAGGGCCATCCACTCTGGAACGTGGAGGGGCTCTGCCCCCTGCTGGACACTAGTGGACACATTATTATTATTAATGGTTAACCATCACCATCCCTGCTTTGTGAGTTTCCTCCAAGGTTTCCTTCCTGCTGCCCTGCAGCAGCACTGGCTGCTACCCATTTGGAAGTCAAGGGGTCTGGCTTCCAAGGTGCAGTTCTCTGCTGTGTGAACGTGGCAGATCACTGCATAGCCTTCCTGAGCCTCATAAATCACCTGCAAGTCAGGTGCATCCTTACCTACAACACGGGGTTATTACAGTGAAGGTTAAGTTAAATTGACATTGAAGGCCCCACTTGTTCTGGAAAGCTCTTAAATCTCCAGCTGTTTGCTCATGGGCAACAGTAGCATGTTTAAACCTCCATAGTGATGGTCTGAGTCTAAGCTGAAATGTACTTTTAACCTTCAAGAAAATTACCCTTTCTTTTGACCTTTTTTAGTCAAGTAACATTTAAAAAAAATTGTATTAACAGTAAAGGGTGCTGTCATGTGCTGCGCACCTGAACTCTGATGTGCTGCTGCTTTGGATGATTCTAGCTGGAAGGCCAAGTCCAGAGAATCAGGGCAGCAGAACTGGATATCCTGGAAGACTCAAAAATCAGCTTTAAGTTCAGAGTCAAAGCTAAAGTGATTGTGGTGAAAGTTCCCTAGAATCAAGTTTCATATTAAAAAAAAAGTAATAGGTCAGCCAGTAGCAAGTCACTGAAGTTAAAACTGTTCCGTTAAGGTTGAGCATTTGGGGGAAAGTCTAAAGTGTTTGTTTTCTAACTTCCGGTTGGAGCTCCTTTTATTTCTAAACTTCTTTGACAGCTTTCACATGCTGCTGCTGTTGGGCTGGGGGAGTGCCCTGGACAAGAGCCAGGAGAACTGGATATATTTTTGATTTTATCCTCAGTTGCATGGCCTTGCCACATTACCAAATCTGTCTTGCCTCAGTTTCCCCAATGCACAAGGGCTGTTTTCGAGGGGATTCATGTATCATAAAAGGCCTCTTTTGATTCGATTCTGAGCTCCTAAAATTCTAAAGCTATTAGCCAAGTAAGGGAGTTCCTGGAAAAGATTTTCTGCTTCTTTTTAGAAACCTACCTTGTTTCTATCTGTGCCTGGCTCTGAATTGCACAGGGGGGAGAAAACAGTGAATGCAAACTACTGATTTGTACCTGTCTTGCTCTTCCTCTGCTAGTTCATCCTGTCCCTTTTCCCCCGCAGCACTGACCCAGGTGGAAATCATTAGATCGTTTACTGCCAAGCAGCCAGATGAGCTCTCCCTGCAGGTGGCAGATGTGGTCCTCATTTATCAACGTGTCAGCGATGGTGAGTGGGAGCGTTCTTAGGGGCACTGATGGTCCAGCGTGCAGGGCCTCATTTTGTCCTCAGTGCTCATGACCCTAGCCCTTCTTCAGTTTTCTCACAGGCATCTGCCTCTCTTTTATACTTTATTGCATCTAAATATTTTTGAACAGGATGCAGCCACATGGTTTCTTATTCAGAGGGACCCATGAAAAGTTTTCCTTCTTTCGCACTCTCCCAGTGACCAAGTTCTCATCTCCAGAAGCTCCTCCTTCCTCTCTTTAAAAAAAAGTCATTGACTTGCTACCCACAGCATCATCCCTTGCGACAGCTCGGCCCCAGCTCACACAGTCTCCCAGCTGACTCACTACAGGCTCTCTCCTCACTTTGCATTATCCATGGACCCAACCTGGGGCAGGATGCTGCCATTGAAACTTGCTCATATCCTCCTCCCTTAGAGCTGGTAAGTCAAGATTCATCTAAATACTTGGTGCTCCATGAGGACTCTCCTCTTCCTTGCAGGCTGGTATGAAGGGGAGAGACTGCGAGATGGAGAAAGAGGCTGGTTTCCTATGGAATGTGCCAAGGAGATAACATGCCAAGCTACCATTGATAAGAATGTGGAAAGAATGGGACGTTTGCTGGGACTGGAGACCAATGTGTAGCCTCTCCCATGGTATTTAGTTACTGCACATTTGCACTACATCATGGTGGGCTGGTTGGTTCAGGGCTGGTTTTAATTTTAACACAGCCTATTTGTTAAAAGAATGGAAACACTTGCCTTTAAGCTTGCCAGGTGGTCCTGTTCTCTCAGAGGAACAGCTACTGGATCCAGGTAGCCAAACTCACTTTGTGCACAGCGCTCCTTTTGCAGAAGGTAAACAGGACAGCTGAGCTGGCCACTTCAGGGGTCAGGCAGCCTCAGCTCCTGGTCGCACCATGTTCTGGCATAAAAACAAAACGTATGTAAGACGCTGTGTCCTGGTTTTCTCCAGCTTCACTTCACCCCTCTTTCAATATCGCCTTCATGTGGTTCTTCCAGTGTTAGCAGGGTTTTATGTCTTTAAGGAATGCCCACTTCTGTAAATATTTTCTGCCTCATATTTCAGACCTGATCCTAATGCTGTCTTCATTTCAGGAGGAACTGGTAGAGTTCTCAAGGTGAGCTAAGTTTTTCTAAATCTTTCCCTGGGAAAGAGAAATTGACACTTGAATTTTTGCTGCCTCTTTCCTCATTAGAAGGGAAAGTATGGAGTCTATAAGATTTTTTTTTAATCCATCTCACCCAATATTGGTCTTAGATAAGTATAGCCTAATAAAAACTAAGCTACTCTAACAACATAGAATTTAGATGGTTCATGCATGTAAGAAAATCCTAAATCTAGGACAGAGGTTCTACTTTTAAAAAATAGTCCCCAATGAGCTGGTAAACTGACGTGAGGCTGATTTGCCTTCAAGGTTTTTGACTGTTCTCCCATTTCCAAAAGGAAATTGGCTGAAACACACTTTTAACAATTTAACGATCTCAAGGAAGATAAAATTGGGCCTTAAAAAGTATCAAGCCAGCATGGTACCTAAATGAAACATAACATTTTGACCTTAATGGAAACTCCGTATGATTTGGAGCCTCTTTTAATGGCAGGTGTCTGCAGAACTTTATTTCTCCCACTAGTGCCAGGAGAGAGAAAAGTCATTGTAATAGTACATACATTTCGTAAGGAGGGAATGCGGGTTTGGGAGACTTAGGGAGATGGAGTGATGGTTCCTGGCAGCTACGTTCCCTCTCTGGCTACTCCGTTCTCTTCCACAGAGGGGGGCAAACCTGGCAAAGGAGGGTACATCAGTCAGGGACTCAGAGCCACGTGTGACATGCCCCAGATGCTGTCTGCCAGCCAGTTACCTGCTTGTGAGTAACGTGGCAGAAGGGAGTTGAGTGTGCCAGGCTCGCATGCTCTGTCCCGTCACCACAGCACTGAGCCCATGAGGGGGGCACCTGTGGCCTCCTCCGTGGATTGCTCTTCTTACCTGTGCACACATTTCTGAGCTCCTTGAGGGCTGGGTCAGTCCGTCAGTGAAGAACAGCAGTGGACACATAGCAAGCGAGGTCTCGGGGCTGGTAAAACAAGAACTCTTGTTTCCTCTTTGATGTCAGGCCTTTTAGAGGAAAGGCTAACAAGTTATAATCTGTGATGTCATTTAGGAAGGAAGGTAAATGTGTTGCTTGCAAAAGGATCATTTCGTATTATTTTTGCTAACAGCCTGTTGAAACTAAAAAGCAGTTATGCAAATCCTGTGAATTAATTTATAAGTAGAGATGTTACACAGTTCTGGAAATATGTGCATCTTATAAGTCAAAGCCTATTTAGCAAGCAAGTTAGTACTGTTGTTAGATGAAGTGTTTTACGGCAGACATTAACACTCACCGTGTTCCCTTCTGCCGTGAACTGTCGTTTTTACATGACACAGTATTGTTTTTCAAACTAGTTGTTTCTAGGAATAGCTTCTCTGAACTGTACAATGACTTCATTCAGTGACCTGTGGAGAACAAAAATACTCATCTGTGTCCCAATGAATTGAGACTGCTTGTACACTTTTGACAAATATGTGAATTTATAAAGATTTTGTATATACGTGTTCTTTTGTGCTGGTGTGATTTAATTTGCTATAGGATGTGTACATTTAAGTATATAGTTGGCTGAATTTTTGGCCAAATCAGAGCCCTACTCAAAAGGTGTCTGTAGCTAACACTGAAGGTGTCTGATCTTTCCTCTATGGGTTCATGCTGGCCTTAGGAGCCTGGAGCATTTTTAAGAACTGGGCCAAGCTGTTTCTTCTCATAGTTTTCACAGAACTGCATGACTGAATAGCTTACCTCAAATAGTTCATAAGCACCTGACTGCTGCCGACCCCTGCACGACACCTCCTCACTGACCCCGGCTGCCTAGCACCTGGACCGGGTGCTCGTGCATCTTGGTGGAGGACAGAGAGAGAATGACTCCTCCTGCATTAATTTTCCTTTCCTGCATAACACGTTTCCACACAGTCAGTGGCTTAAAACAACACTCATTTATGATCTCAGTTCTGATGGCTTGGCTGGATTCTCTGCTGAGAGTCTGAAAAGGCTGAAATCGGACTGTTGGTTTGACTGCTTTCAAGCTCACACCTGACTCGCAGAGTTCTGGCTGAGGCCCATTTCCTTGCTGGCTGCTGTGCCAGGGGGACTGGAGGGGCTCGTGGCTTCCAGGGACTGGAATTCATCGCCATGTGGCTCCTTCCATCTTTGGGGCAGCAGTGGCATGCTGAATCCCTCTCATGCTTGGAATCTCTCACTTCACCTTATGCTACCAGCTGGAGAAAACTCTGCTTTTAAAGAACTCAGGTAGTCACATTAGACCCACAGGATAATCTCCTTTATGAACTCAATCAACTGATTTGGGTCCCTAATTAGATGTGTAAAATCCCTTCGCCACGCAATTAACACGATCACAGATTCAACACCAAGGAAGAGATCATGGGATCATCTTAGAATTCTGCCTACCACACCCTCTGTAAAATCTTAAAATGCTATTTAGTTACCCAACATCTCTTGCAGCTAAAATAGAGCCATGTGATAGGGTACATAATCAATGGCCTCTTTGTTGGATTGTCACTCACGTCAGTGATGGCAGAGGAGAGATACAGGGACTGTCATCTCTGGAAGTAGCAGGATGCATCCTCCCCACTTTGGTCCATCATCCTCCGTCCCAAATTACTGGACTTTGGGAAGCAGCAGAGAGGCAACGTTATTTGGATCTGCAATACTAAATAACACAGTTCAGAGTTTAGTGCCTACCATAATCTTTGTGTGAGCTGAGTCCCCCAGGGTTTCCTCTCAAGTGAAGAGATGACCCTAGAGGACCTCAAGCCTCACTCTTCGAGGTTCTAGCACATCGGAGTCTGGACGGAAGGAAACAAAACCTCACTCTGGAAGAAGCTACCATCATCTTAGTTCTGTTATTTCTGAAAAACAAATTCTCAAATGAAAGGTTCAGCAAAAATACTTTGAGACACAACATCTACATACAGAAAACAAAACAAAAAAAACCTGATATACTTACAGGGACTTGAGAGTGAAATCATTAGACAATAAAATAATCGCTACATTTATGGAGATAAAAGCCAAACTTTAAAATGCAATATAGAACTAACAACGATAAGAAGTGAAATAAAAAGAAAAAACAACTAGAAATTATGGAAGTGGGTTTAACACCAGATTTGGTAGTTCAGAGATATTGTAAACTGGAAAAGAGGTTAGAATAAACTCACAGGAAGCATGGAGAGAAGGCAAGGAATGAACTGTGGAGTCTCAGAGGAGAGGGGGAGAGGGAGAGGGAGCTTCGGCAGGGGGTCTGTGTCTTTCTAACCCTGCTCTGACCAGCCGTGGATGCAGGCTGTCTCCAGAAAGTGAAGTGACCCCTTCACCTGAGGACAAGTCCCACAGAAAGCTGATGAGTGACGGCTGTCACATGGTCACACTTCCAGTCCACTGGCCCTGATGGAAGGCCTGGGCAGAAGTCACAACGTTCACTACATGTAGCTATGTCAATATTAGATAAAAAGAGTCTTAAAAGGCATGACTAGAGACAGAGAGAGCCTACAGAATGATGAAAGTTTCATTTAACAAGGAACACAACAATTCTAAATATATTCCTCTAATAACATAGTTTCAATATAAATAAAAGTTGGCAGAAATGAAAAATTAAATCCAAAGTCATAGCATGAGACTTTAACACACCTGTCTCATGTGATAGGAAAGACAGATAAAAGTGTAGAAGTAGATAAAAATCAGTGGAAGTAGATCTGAAGGACAACAATAGGCATAAAAAAGGACATGCTGCTGCAGTTTCAGCGTGTACATTCTTTTCAAGCACAAACAGACTCTTTACAACATTTGACTATTTCCTGGGTCATAAAACAAGTTTCAACAATTTTAAAGAACCAAAGTTATACAGAGTGAGATCTTTGATTACAACATAAGTTGGAAATCAATAACAAAAATTAAGAAATATCTAAACTTTAACCTAAATGTAAGGTGCAAAACTGTGAAACTCCTAGAAGATAACACAGGAGAAAATCTAGGTGCTTTTGGGTTTGGAGATGACTTTTCAAATATAGCAGCAAAGACATGATCGATGAAAAAAAATTGATAAATTGAACTTCATTAAAAGATAGAATAAAATAGACAATCCACAGAGGAGAAGGAAATCTTGCAAAATGTATCTGATAACAGGATCAGCATCCACAATATACAAAGAACTTTTAAAACTCAGTAATTAGAAAACAAACAACCCAGTTAAATCACCAAGGAACTACTCTATTAAATGAAAGCTTTGCCAAAATGAGTTTTATTTCCCACCAAGCTGCCTTCATTGTGTGAAGGTAACATATTCTGCATGGACTCAGAAATACATCATTCATTGTCTTAAAAAATTACTTGAAAAATCATACCAGACCATCAAGACATGAATCACATCCTACCTAGAAAATGGGCAGTCACAATTTAAAAGACGTTCCCTTACTCTGCAGGCCCGGTGGGACCCTGACATCTGTGGGAAAGGCCGGCTCTGCAGCGCTTCCACTTCAGCCATCCTCCTTTGCCCCCACGCCTTTACACCAGAGGTGTTTTCACTCATGCCCTGCTGTTCCCCTCATGGTGGATGTGCAGCACCTTGACATCATGACCACCTAGAACTGGTGCTATTTATTCTCTTCTGGCACTTGTAACAGTGACTTAACACTTTACACTGAACTAGCCAACTGAAGATTGGCACATTTTGCCATTTTCTAATCAATGAACTTACGATTTTCTGCACCTCTAAAATTCAAAAAGAATAATCCCCTCTCTAATCAGATAAACCCCAAAAGTCCCAACTACTTGATACAAGGCGGAAAATCACAACATATAAGTAAGTATACGACCAAGACAGCAAGTAAGCACATGAATACACTCATCACTGATCACTACAAAAATACAACATAGAACGACAGTGAGCAATGACTCCACATCCACTAAAGGCCAAACTTAAACAACAAAAAATACCAAAGTACTGGTGAGAACCTGAAACCCTTGAGACCATAATATATTGAGGATAGGTGTTTAAAATGGTACCTATCCTCACTCTGGATAAAATGGTACACCCACTCTGGAAATCAGTTTGGCAATTTCTCATAAAGTTAAACACTAACAATGACAACAACCCTAATCATAGGTACTTACCCAAGAGAAAAGTAAACATCTATCTACACATAGACCTGTGTACACAAGTTCATAGTAGCTTTACTTATAATAACAAAAAACCTGAAAATAAGTCAAATGCCCACCAACCGGTGAACGGGAAAACTAGCTGTGGTGTAACCATACAATGCAGTACTACTCAACAAAAAAAGCACTGCTGACACAGGCAGCAACGTGTACATCTCAAAAGCATTGTTAGTGAAAGAGGTCAGACACAAAAGACTGCATATGGTTCTATTTATCCAAAATTCTACAAAAGGCAAAACTAGTGATCAAAAGCAGATCAACAGTTGCCAGTGGGTGGAAGAGGGAGCAGAGGACTGACTGCAAAGGGAAACAAGGGACATTTTTAGGTGATAAGAATGTTCTGTATCAGGATTGTGATAGTAGCAATGACATGACTATATATTTGACAAAATTCATAGAATTATACACTATAAATTGGATACTTTTATCATATATAAGCAGTATCTTAAAGCTTATCAAAAGTATGTAACAGTGGTAACATTTTTTTTTATTATGTAGTATTTCCAAATATTCTACAATGAGCATGTACTGTTTCTAATTCAGAAAATGCCACATAAAACTAATGAGCATATTATAAATTTATGGTTATACCACATGATCACAATTACTTAAAAATAAACATACATAAACTCAGAGCTAAAAGAGGGGAATGAAAATTACCATTTACTTTGGGTAATGGAGTACTAAAATAAATTCCTCCTACACTTTTCTAGGATTTCTAGCTTTTAGGGTGGATTTTGTTTTAAAAATGAAGAAGGGAAAATCACTTGCAATAATTGGTATACGTATACCTAAAGCTGTTGCCTAAGTTAATGAATTAAGGTGTCACATGGACTTACCTTTCAAAGACAGTTTTTAAAGATTATTCAGTGGATATTTTATTGCTTTCGTTTTTTTCCCCCGTAAGGTTCTGTTTCAGGGTTATTTTCTCAGGAGTCGTCCTTGGTATCAGAATGGTGAATGTCTTATTCTTTAAAACTACCGAATAACAAAGAGTTCTCAGACGGGGAATACATGTTTCACTAACACCCTATTCTGTAAACAAAAGAAACAACATAAATAGCACCTTCAGTTAAAATTTCCATCCTGATTAGCTGTGGAGAAGACATAAATTGAGGGTGATAATAACTGCTTTAATCTCTCTGAATAGCTCATCCACTAAACAATTCTTCAGGAACAGCCTCCCCATTTATGGAGATTAAATACTGGTTTGTGAACACAGAACAAATTAACTAGTAATTTGTTTTTATAGATTCTTTAAATGCTTTCTGCCAAAACTGTTTTGGCTGACGCACTGGATTTAAACTGGATAATAAAAGCAAGCAAAAAAAAAAACAAACCACAAAAACATAAACATTCTTACAGAACAAATAGGACCTAATGGTCACCTTGAGTTTAAGGGCAAAACTAACATGCTACAATATGTACAATGCAAGAAGGCAGTGAGAGAAACCATTTTTAGAATGCTAGCCAAGAAAATGGACTTGGGACACACAAATACATTCAAAATCTTGGAAGGCAGTGTTAGGTTGACATGCACGCCCAGAAACAGGAGCAGTACCTGAACCAGTGCTGTTCAGACCATCGTAGCATTAGCCATCAGTCCCAGTCACTGTCTGACTGCCCTTTCCTTTGGCTTCTCTGCACTTACTGGAAGGCACAGTAAGATGTGTAGTTTGAAGGGTGCAGCAGGATGTGCTTCCTGTTTCTTTCTGCAGTTGTCCGAGGACTACAACTTGTACAGCTTTTCTCAGACCTACGGGTCCAACAGTCAGATCACAAAATAAATGGTAGAAACAGGCCTCAGCAAACAAAACTTGATGAGCGATAGTACAGGTTTCAATTCATGTGTTTTCTGCCAGGCCTTACAAAAGACTCTACTAAAAGTGGCTAAAACAGTGATGGATTTATCATGGCAGAGTGAAGTCCATGCACAGGGCAGTTGTAGAGGTGGGTAATTTAGCAGCTCACTGGTGTCATCAAGGACTCACCTGCTCACTGGGCCAACCTCGTGATCCTCAGTTGCCTGCAACAGCTCCAAGTGCCAGATTCAGACAAGACAGTGTCCAAAGGAGGAGCGCAGCGTTTCCTCCTCCAAGTTTCTCTATCAGTGAGGAAAATCTTTCTCAGAGGCCCTTTGCAGAGCTCTTCTCAGCCACCACTGGCCAGGACAGGTTCACATATTCATGCCTCATCAGCTACTTTTAAGGGGAGTAAGACCATGCGTGACTGGCTCAGAACAATTCGTTTCACACTTGGGGAAGAGGGTCCACATCGCTGAGCACAAGGCCGCACAGAGAGGGGACACATGAACAAGCAAGCAGGAAGAGAGGGACAAAGTGGCTGTTGTACAGCACCAACAGTATCTGTCAAAATCTAACACAGACGGCTGAAAACATACAGTCTGTGTCACACTAGCTTCCACTGGCTGAGAGGGTAAAACAGCACTTAGAGCATGGGGGAAAAAGTGTAACATAATGGACTGTTATTAAAAAAAAATTCCAGAAGCCAGTAATAATTTCAATTTGTTGAGTACACAATACATGCCAGACACTAGTCCATGCAACTTTACATATGTTAATATATTCAATCCTCACAATTGTTACTTGTATTTTACAGAGGAGGAAAAGAGAAGCCAAATAATTTGCCTAAGACATCTAAGTGACAGAGCTAAAATGTGAACTTAGGTAGTCACTAGGCTCCAGACCCATGCTCTCAAGTGCTATTTTACACTGCACAGGGTGATGTAAAAGGAGCACAAATATATTCTAAAAAGATAAAAACAAAAATCAAATAAACTAAGGGATAGGTGGAGATGCAGAAACCAAGCTAAAAAACTAGCTGAGATTTACACACTGTACATTTTATTAAATACTGGGCTTTATTACAACAAATTAATTTTCTTCTGATTGAAGTTTCATTAAAAAATGTAGATGTGGTCAAATTCTGATTTGACACTGCTTTTTGGATAACCATTCTTTTTACTGGTTCTATACTCAGGCATTATGGGTAGAAAGATCAATTTTTTATAACAGAACAAAGGCATTTCTCAAATGGTACAACATTCAAAATATATGAGAAGTACTCTCAAAATGTGGACATGACCACTATAGAGCATATGATCAGAGAATGTATTGTTTTTTATGGCATATTTATAATAGCTACAGATAACACTGTTAACTCATGCACATTAAGTCTTTACTACCTACTGAAAGTTTCTACCTTACACATGAGAATGCATGTCCCAGGGTTTGGCATCTAGCCAAAAGGCAAACCAAGATGGAAAAATGGCCGTCAAACTGGGTTTTCAGGCCACCACAGGAAAGCCGTCAGCTGTAGTATCCCTCCTGGAAGCGTGGAGGCAAGTTCCTAGGAGTCGCTTTTTCCTGCGTTTTGATCAAGTCTATGATGGCTGAGAGCACCGCGCAGTCTCTGGATTTAGTGTCCTTCCAGTCTACAGGGTGGGGACTTTCAATCTTCTGTTGCAGAAGGATATCGAGTTCCTTTCTTAATTCCTAAAGTTGAAAAAATTACACTTGTTCAAAAAAGGCAGATGAATACCAAACAATGTAGTAAATAAAAGTGACTTTAGCAGGTACAAGGAGTTTCATAAACTAGTATACAAAAAACTGAGACATTTAGTGAGCAGCTAACTAAAGTGTGGTTATGAACTTAGGTAAAGTCAAAAAATTCAAACTTCCATCACACTAAGCCATTCAGAATGGCTGGTCTATAACTACCTCAAAAAACAGTTCAGAAAAAGTATGAATCTACTTCTCAACACAATTTGCTCTGTTGAAATAAAGAAATGTTTAATGCAACACATAGAATACTTGGAAGAACAAAACCACAAGACCACATACTAACTTGCACGGAGAATCAAAGACAATCACGTTAAGTCAGTCACCTTAACAAGATGGGCAATTCTTGCTGGAGACTGAAAGATAATCCATTCGTCAACAGCAATAGTTTCCTGATCGTTATCCTTCTGGATGGAAATATCACCTCCAAAGAACAAGAGACAGTATGGGGAGACTTCTGTGCAGTCGTACAAGTATATCTATAGTGAGAATTAAGGCAAATTAATACATTAAGGAAACCGGAAGGATTATTGCCACGTTAATGCAATAATATCACTAATATCAATCTATTAGCGCTTTCTTTCTAAAACAGGTACTATCCTATAGGCGTAATTACAGCGACTAATTTTGAAGAAATACCATTTTAAACAAGTCTTTCTTTATTACTTCAGAGAACACAGGAGTTTTATGTTTTTGTTTCAATTCAAACAACAGTACTATTCTTTAAACAAAATATTTTCTGAGTGGTAAAACTAAAACACTAATGTCCCTGAAGTTATTTTTATTTATATGTAAACAGAATCCCACTTAATATTCTGACCAATATATATAAGGTATATTGACAGGCCAATAAAATTCTTTGTACAGTGTAAACTCTTGTATACCATAAAGTGCCAGTATTTCTTGAAAGCAGGCTTTGAAAGAAAAGTATCAAATAACTGTCCCAATTAAAGTACAAAGATCCATCATGACAGACCCGCCTGAAGAAGTTACAAAAGTAGAAAAAAAAAATTTTTTAAGGGACAAATTTTCTTTATAATTATGAAAACTATACAATTTAAAAAGTACAAGGCTGTTTTTCAGATCCATGATTATTTTACACATTCGCTTACACTGCTTGTTCTCATCTTCAGGTGATAGATAAGCCAGTTGTAGTGAAACTCCGTTTGCTCCACATTAACAGATTTAGGATGAATAGCAACTAGTCCGTCGGTTTTTGTGTAAACCTTTACCCTTTAAAAAAGTTAAAATGTAGTTAAAAAAAAAATTCTGGAGTATTCCAAGCCAATCCCAGAATCAACATAAACTCCACAGATGAGTTTAGTTTATTTCTGCAATATAAATTCTCAAACTTATATTTGAGGAAAGAGAATTTTTACTTTTATTAAACATGGAAAAATATCAGCTAAATATAAATATGCTAAATCATACAACTAATTCTCTTCTTACAGGTATAATTACTCAACATATTAGAGAGGTAACAGAATATTCCCTAATTTTCTTACTATATATTCCACTAAAGGACAAAGAATGAAATAAATACCTGAGGTAATTCTAAGTGATTCAGACCAAGAGAATAGTCTATACATTTTACTGTCCATCATGATACTGATAAATAGCCCTCAATTTACAGAATAAGTCAGTGAAATGATCAATTCAAAAATTTCACAGGTTATGCACCCAGGCAAATGTAAAATAAAAAATGAAGAATTTTGTTTAAAAGGGATTTTAGCTACAACTGATTCTTAAAAACTTATTCTAAAATATGTTTTAAATGGTCTCACATTCATTCAAACCCTCCAATTTCAAAACAGGAATACTTGGAATAAATGCACACAGCTCTGGTTCACTTGCTCCATTCTTAGAGGTCTTTCCTTTGACAGTCATAAAAATTTTTACCTTAATTTGCGGGAGTCTTTAATAAAAATTATCCAACAGGCAGATGTCTGATGGTTATATAGTCAGTGGTAATTACAGCATTAAGCTGATAATCCATTCATTCTTCCTATTTGCTTTTAAGAGTATCTTTTTCATGGTTGTAGGAATCTATAATAGTTCTACCAAAATCATGAATCAGTCATGAACCATTATTCAGAATAAAATCAGCAATTATTTTTCCTCACTGCACAGTCAATTTATCCAATGCCATCCTGCAACCCTACATCACTAGAGCAGTAGGGTTTGGCACACTTTGTACAGGACCAGAGAAAAAGTATTTCAGGCTTTGTGGCCTATGAGCTCTTGTCACAATAACTCAACTCTGCTAGCGTAGCTGGAGAGCAGGCACAGACAACACGTGAATGAACAGGCACGGCTGTGTTCCAACAAAAATTTATACAAACAACTTTGTGGCCAGTGTGCTTATGCCAGAATGTGCTGACCCCTGGACTAGACCAAAGCAAAGCATCAATCCAAAGAAAACTACATTTTTTTAATAAGCCTTCCTAGGACAGCAGAGGGATATATAAAACGTTTGTATTTCAAGGAGTCCCCCTGTTAAGCTACCTCTAGGGAAAGGTATGAAGGAGGATCCGATAAAGTACTGATGTCAAAGTACTCAGATAACTTAAAATGCAGATAATCCAGCCACATGATTAAAATTCATTTTACCCATAATCTCATACCTAAGAACAGGGTCTCAACATCAGCATTCTTGACTTACTGACTTCTCTGCTGGGGGGACTGTCCTGTGCACTGCCGAATGCTTAACAGCATCACTGGCCTCCATTTACTAGAGGCTAATGGTACTTACTACTCCTCCAGCTGTAAGAACCGTGTCTGCAGGCATCATCAAATGTCACCGGGGAGGCAAAATCACCCAGGCTGAGAACCACTGCACTAGAGCAATGTCTGCACCCTAGTCTTTGAGGTCTTTATTTTTTTGTGTTCATAGAACATTCAACTTTTTCATTTAACATCAGTTCAAATGTTTTATACATTAATATACAATGTTTTTATATGCCTATCTAACAGAAATGCCATATAATATGGTCTTATAAAACCATCATTTCCCATTGCTACTAGACATCTACGTTGTTTACAATATACCTTTCACAAAACATTTGGAATTACTGCCTTAGAACATATCAAGTTAAAATATCACTTATGAATCCACTGGGCCAGTGAATATTTTTACGACTGCGGTTACTTATTTCTAACCTAGAGTGTCTTCCAAAAGGGTGGCACCAATTCACATAGCACTAGGCATTTGTGACTTCCAGTTTTTTTCTCACTAGAATGAGTTCATTTACTGGGCAAAAAAATATGCCTTATTGTTGTCTCCAACTACTGCTGAAGCTGACTCTACTTGTATATATATTGAAAAGTTACATTTTATTTCTCAAAACAGATTTCATGAAATTGCCAATTTTATTCAAAGAGCTAAAGTACAAAATTATCTGTTTTGTAAGAGGGGAAAAAAAAGAAATAAAGTCTACTCTAAGCAGCATCCACCCAGGCACTGGTTTTTAATAGCTGCCTTGCTCTTCTCGTATTACACTGGTGGTGTATTTTACTGACATTCTTTGTGAATAACGAATGATGGAAGAGCTGACTGCAGGGATGTGCTGAGGGGAAGTGATGCCTGTGTTAAACAGTGAGCCCTCTCTTAAACGACCAAAAGTAAAGAACAACACGGCCAAAATACGACTAAGAACAAATGTACAATAGAAGTCCTGTTGCATCAGAAGATTTCAAAAGTTTGAAAGAACTAAAAGTAATTCATAATAATCTTCAATGCTTACATTTTTCTTTTTTTACCCAGATTTAGTCGGATTTTAGCAACTTTGGGATATAAACCAGCACAGATGACAGCTTTAATTATCTTCTCATTATCTATTGGGGGTGGGAAGGTAGAGGAAAAAAAAAGTAAAATACTGACACAACTGACAACAGCAGCAAGTTACTTACACTGTATTTTCTGCTTTACCTGAATTTATATTAGATTTTGGATCTTTAGGATTTCTACTGCTTACAAATCCAGCTCCAAGAAGATGCTCAGCAAACTGCCCTTTCATGTTATGCAGCATCTAGGGAGCAATGGTAACAGACAGAACTAGAATACCTTTCACACAGATTTATAGGGGTTATAAAGCATTTACTCATAAATAAATTTAGCTATAAGCTTTCTCTGCTTTATAAAAGTTCTGCAAAAATGTGATTATCTTGGAGCAGGGGGCTGGTAAACTACAAGATTTATAAAACCTTGTTTTTGTCAATAAAGTTTCACTGGAACAAAGCCACTCATTCATCTATGTATTATCTACAGTTGCTTTTGCACTGTAATGGCACAGGTGAGTGTTCCAACACAGACCATATTTACTGTCTGAGCTTTTACAGAAAAGGCCTGCCTGATGTAGGGAATAACTGAATATTTAATGATTACTCCATTCTGCAAAAAGACTAACTTTCAAAATTGCTTGCCACCTTGTATTTTGAAAAAAATACAGAAAAGCATAAAGAAAATAAACAGCATCTATATAGGTACTACTGACAATTAACTACTCTTACATCCTGGCACAAATATTTAAGACCTGTCTCTTGCTTTGTTTCATTTTTTTAAGAAAAATCACTATTTGGGTAAAAATGACACATGGCTCATTATAATGAGCATTCATGTAACACAGAAAAATACAAAAGAAGAAACTTCCCTACACTCAATACTGTCAGAAATTAAGTAAATAATATTGCAGACACTTATTATGCATATAGACTGACAAAACAATTAGGCAGAAATCCTATCCTAAAAATGGGATAATAGAACAGAAACTATTTTTATGAAAGTATAAAGTTAATTTTAAAGAAGAAAGTTAAACAGAAATGAAACAGAACTAGCTGACATATTTTTATAATCACAAAAGATACTTAACAAAGGATCCTTATGAGCTTAGATTATGAAACATAAAGTTGGTCATACTTGAGTATACATCTGTTTCACGAATTATGACTTTAGTTTCCCCACCTAATTTCTCTTATAACTGACTCTCTAGTCCACCTCCTGACTTTTATTACCATTATTTTACATTGTTCAGGATTAATAACCATTACAACCTATTCTGTATCTGTAATGCCCAATACTCTTTATACTTTTTCTGTATTTGAATCATCTCAGTGTACACCCCCAGCTGACTGAGCATGTGCTCTCCACTCCTGAATTCTTTTTGATTCCTCTCTCAACAGGCCACACTTCAGTCTTAGCTTATGGGTGCGGTATTTCCAGTGCTTTCTTGAATGCCTGTCATTTTTCTTCATACTTGGAATTAATATCTTGCCTGGACATAATATTCTCAAATTAACACTTGGATTTAGCTATCTTTTCATATTGTAGTTCACTTCATTTTTTTCTATTTCAGGAAAAATGTTCTTCCACATATCTCTGAATACACAGTCAATTACACTTAAATTTGCTATGCAGAGACACCTATTAACTCCATGATGGGTCAGTCCTGTCTTCCTGCTTTGTGGCTGCATCTATAAACTGTGATTATCTCAAGCCTTTCTTCTATGGCAGTATTTTGCTTTAAAAGTCTTCTTTGGTCTTCAATTTCTCTTCTTAGCTCAGCAGTCTTTTCATTCATTCTATTGGTTTATTTTCTTTGTTTTACTAAACTCACATTCTTAAATTGTTCCTTACTATGAAGTTATATATTCTGTTGAGGTATGTCGGGTTCTATTCTTTTTTTCCATTGTTTGTATCATCTTTCAAAGTTGTCATGACCCTTCTTTTCATTTTGTTACTGTTTGGGCACTTTTGGTTAAATATGCTAGATTCTGGATTCTTTTACCCCCTGGAGATGTGTTATGTGTCCAGTAGAGGGTTCACGCCATGTAGCTGGAATGTACCTGTAATGGGGTAGACGGAGGATATTCTGACACCCACTGCCTTGAGATCACTTCTCCACCAGTTCAATGAGTCTGAAGTCTGGTGTGCACCTGAGCTGCTTACATTGTTTACTGTCTTCTGTTTCATCAATGCCTCCTGTTCAGTGTTTTCTTGCTATATACTAAGTCAGTTAAAGATAAAAAAAATACCTACTCAAAAGTTAAAGAAAAGACATCTGCCTTGATATTTTAAAATAGATGTTAGGAGTATTAGTGAAAAATTTCAGAATGAATCATTAAAATGGCAACTAAAGGGTGGGTACAGGAATAATAAACAAGTCTCTCTGTGTTTTCCTGCTAAACTCTGGACTCATTTCTTTTCTTAACCATTAGTTTTTTATTATGTTACGTATCTTTTCTTATTTTGTTGTAGTTGATTTAATAAAGATTCCTTCTATTATTCTATATAATAATACAATTTCATCAGAGAAACTCACATAATTAACTTTTTGCTACAGATCTGACTACACAAAATAGATACATATATCCTCTAATCCAACATATATGAGAATCACTTCAAAACATTCACCATTACCTGCAGTGTGTTTGAAGACAGAAAATATTCCCAGCAATAGTCTTTTTCATATCTGAAACCACGTTGTCTAGCTTCTTCCCAGCCCTATGGGGCAAAGAAATGAAGAACAGTATTGATTTTGTTCCACAAAGCAAAGACGACTCAGTAGTTTGTCTTTATTTTGGTAATAATTTAATCTTCTACTGATATTTCACTCTTTGGTAAAAAATTAAAAGAATTTTGAAATTAGCAAACTAAGAAAACATAAACTCCTCATAATCCTAGTCATTAAGAGATAACTGAAACTGAGCTTGCAGACCTTTCTTTATACAAATGAGCACAAGTTACACAGTAGTGTATTTTGCACTTTACATAAAATGGCATCATTCTGCATGTATTAAACAAAAGAACTCTGTTGAACAAATCTCACTGCTATTATATATTTTCAACTTCACAAATATATTTTTGTTTTGTTTTGTTTTAAGCTAGAAGAGGAGGGAAGATGAGAAAATACCCAATGAGCTCAAAGGAAAAAAATATATACAAACTTTCCCATAATAGGTAGTAAAAAACTGAGCTTAGAACTACAGTAAAAAGATACCGTCCCTATACACCAAATTACATTTAAATGTTGCAAAGATGGATGATCAATGTTTACTTTCAATAAGCCTGACTTTAAGAGAAAATGTCTCTCTATCCTGCACAGTGTACATGAGTGTGATACTCTATGAAAACATTAAATCCAAATACAGGTATAGTTTATTGATGAACAGAAAGGGATCTTCTGTCATGAATGCCAATAAGACAGACACAAATGAATAATAGCAAATAAAATTTTAAACCAAGTTGTTCACTTGTTCTATTGTTATCAAAACACAAATATAATTTTTTCCAAAAGGGTAAATGTAATAAGCTATCACAAAATTAAAAAATGATGTGCAATTTTTTTCAAATGTGCACCTAATTTTAAACATTCTCATTTGACAGTTTATTTCTGATGATTAAACTAGTTTTAAAAAGTGAAATATATTCCTTTTACCTCAAATGCATTCACGACTGTCAGGTGGTCACTTTTAGTATCCTTTGCCAATTCCTTTCTTCTTGCATCTGCAACTTTTTCTTTTCCCTTAAAACAAATGAAGGCAGCTTAAATTGCTCTTATGGTATATAACAGACAATTGCATTCTAATAAAAAGCTAATGAAAAATGTATCCAAGCAAACAACTATCCTGCATATCTAAAAATATCTTAGCCTTTTACGGGTATCCTTCTTACCAATGGAATCACAAAAGGATCTTTGAAGCTGAGACTAGCAGCAATGGTGAGTACCGGGTCTAAGCAACAGAACAGAGCTCCGAAAAGAATCATTTTCCCAATGTGTGGCTCAACTGGTAATCGTGCTAAGTGGACTCCAAGAGGTGTCAATTCTTCCTGTTTATCCAGAGCATTCTGTAAAGTAAGAGTTTATACTTAAAACAGACATTGTAAGCCATCACATTTTAGTTTGTTTATAAAAAACAGGACACTCCTCACTCTCTTAAGTCCAAATGCCCTAATATTGTTTAGCTTTGATTTTCTTCATCAAAACGTAAGTCTGGAGGTCAGCAAAGGTTAGAAACTTATTTAAACAATAACAAAATTAATCCACAACTCAGCTTTACTGTAAATGCTAGGAGAGAAATGAGAGACCAACACATTATCAAGATTTCAATCAGGTAAAGAAAATCACCAAGTACAAGAGTTGTGGGAAAAATAAAACAAAAAATGAGACACCATTATACACAGGAAACTCACAATGCAGAGCCCTCAATTCTAGTACTTTAGGAGACATGGGACAGGAGGGTAAGAGACGAAAGATGTAGCTAGAACCACAACCCCCCCAATGGGGTGACATCTGCTCTGATGACCCTGGTAATTTGATCCAGTCATCCCACTGAGCACAGCTAGAAAAGCTGCTTCTTGAAGACACTGAGGAGTTACAAAAGAATTGTTAAGAACTACAAGTCTAGGATGTGGGGAGAGACAGAAGTCCAGGGAGGTGAGCCCAACGTTGGGGCTTCTTTTCCCCATAGCAGCAACATAGATCCTCTCTGGAGGACGTTATCATCACCCCAAGTCCCAGGCTTTTTATCTACAAAGACCTTTGTAAATACAATGTCCAGTACACATTCAAAATAACAAGATTTGAACAACAAAATAATAAAAAATATAACATATATATTCCATCAGACACAGACTTCTAAATGTTTATGAAGGTAATAACTCCAACTTTGCAAAACCTCTTTCAGAGAACAGAAAAAGAAGAAAGTTCTTTTCTGAGCCCAGCATAATCCTGGTACTTACCTGACAGAGACATTTGGAGAAAGGAAAACTGAATCATTTTACACATGAGAAACCCAAAACAAAGTAATGGCAAATTGACTCCCAGCAAGTTAGTTTCAGGAATGAAAGTTGGCTTAACATTTGAAAAATCAATGTAGTTCAATACATTATAAATTAAACATGAAAAACAGCATAATCACATACTCTCATTGGCAGCAGAGAAGGTATTTGATAAAATCAATTATTCATGCATAATAAAAAAATCCCTTAGTAAACTAAGAAATTTCCTTAATATGACAGTTTCTACAAAAATCCTTCAAAAAATGCTTAGTTAACTATTGATAGCCTTCTCGATGAGAATAAGAACACAAGAATACACACTGTTATATCACTTCTGCTCAACACTGTACTGGGGATCCTGGACGATAGTTGGAAAGGAATAAATAAAATTGCAATTATTTATAGATGTGATTGTGTATGAAGAAAGAGAAGTCTAAATATAGTTCTCAGAATAAGTGAGTTTCACAGCTTGATGAATAAAAGGACAGCATTCAAAACCAACTTCATTTCTGTATATCAAGACTCAAGAAAATGAAAAATTTTTTAATTAGAATAGAATCCAAAAATACCATAACCAAGAAATAAATCTTTCAAAAAGTTTTATAAAACCCCACACAGAAAACACTGAAACATCAAGAGAGATTAAATCAATGGGAGAGATCATGTTCTTGTTTGGTAAGACTCAGTCCTGTAATTAAGGCAGTGTGGCACCAGCTCAGGACAGAAATACACACCAAGAGAACACAGCAGAACCTACTAACAGACACAGACATCCACAGACACTTGATCTACGGCAGTGGCTGTGGAACAAAGAGAAAGGAAGAACTTTCCTATAAATGGTTTCAGTCAACTGATTACAGATCTCAAGACTGTTTTCTACCTCACCTACACACACACACACACACACACAAATTAAGATGCAGATGGATTATATATATAAGTATAAAAAAGAAAACAATAAAGTTAAAACAATATGTCTTCATGACTCCAGGGCAGACAACTGTTACTTACTAAAGGACAAAAAGCAGTAACAATAAAATTGTCTGATACATTTGACTACATTAAAATTATAAGGATTTGTCAAAACTTTTAAAAAGTGAAAAGGTAAAAAAATGTACACATGTGCAACACACAGTTAACAAAAGGCTCAGATCAAGAGTACACAAAAATACATAATGATCTCCTACAACGTAAGGGGAAAACAGGCATCCATAATTTATAAATGAGACTATACAAATGGGCAACAAACATGAAAAGTTAACCTACAAATCCATTAGTAGTCATGATAATACAAATTTACACCACAAAACTACTACACACCTACCAGCATGCTTAGAATAAAAGACTACTAAGAGTTGCTCACACTGCAGAGCAATGAGAACTCTTACCTACCCACTAGCACTGGTAGGAGTGTAAGTAGTTTTGACGACTTTGGAGAAATACTGAATACTGAAGAACATTCACACCAGCACTGCATATAATAGCCTCAACTTGGAAAGAACCAAAATGCCTTTCAGTAGTCATCTAACAAAATACAGTAAAGAAATGAAAACAAATGAACTATAGCTAAAAGCAATAATGCACATGAATCTCACAATGTTCAAAGAACCCAGAACCCCGTTCCTCCAAAAAAACCTACCAAAAATCAAAAAGACAAAAACCAAAAAACCCCCACCACATTCTACATGAGTTCATGTAAAGTTCACAATAGGCCAAATTAAACTTAGCTCTTCATAGATATATACTGGTATGGCAAAACCATCAAGAAAAACAAGCAAGACAAGTCATGATAGGGATTATTTTGGGGACTGAGTAACACTGGAGTGACTGGAAGAGGGTAGGAAGTGGGCCTTTATGATACTGGAAATGATCTTTCTTCTTGACAAGAATGAAAATAACGTGGCGCTCACTTTGCGATAAATCATTAAGCTGGACATTTTTGTTCTGCTCTTTTATCTTGGATGGGCAATGCTGTATTTCACAATAAAAAGTGTTTCAAAAACATGGGCTTCAGCGCCTACTGTTGACTTGCTGGGTCTTTTCAGTTTTGTTGCCTGGAAATGGCTAAGTGAAGACTGGCTCTTTTTTTTTTTTTTTCACTTATTTATTGTATTTGGTTTTTTTTGGGGGGGGGGATTACATTTATTTATTTATTCTTGGAGGATGCACTGGGGATTGAACCCAGGACCTTGTGAGTACTGAGCATGCATTCTACCACTGGAGCTACACCCTGCCCCCAAGACTGGCTCTTAAATTCAGCTGGGAGAAAAGTCATCCAACTCAGGCTTCAGGGTCCAGCTGTCCTCTGGTCATCTGTCTACCACAAATAATGAGTTGATTTTCTGATCACCACCTAGCTTTCTACCATTATAGTCTATTAGATAAAAGTCTGGAGGCGAAAAGAGGTCAGTAGTAAAACCACACTACTCCCTAAAATTCCAGTAACGTCTCTAAATCTATTCCAATTTCTAACAAAGATGGTAAGATATGTTACAATGCTTTTTCATTGGCCAAATTCTCAAAATTATCTACGTGGATGGCTCAAATAAAACTAATATATAAAATACGTCTGTGACATCCTCTAACCCAGCACTCATCAACAGAACCTGTAGTGTTGACAGAAAGTCTATTCCTGCACTGTCCACATGGATAGCCACTAGCCACATGTGCCTATTAAGCATCTAAAATGTTCGAGTATGACTGAAATAACTGAATTTGCAATTTAATTAAAAATTTAAATTTAAATAGTCACATGTGGCTGGTGGCTACTATACTGGACAGCACAGCTCTAACCTGTATTCCTCTCCACTCTGGGTACCAACTCACAGCCAGTCCTGTGCCTCTTCTCAACATGGTCTTTTGCGGGGATGGCTACCAACTAAACGGTCACTTGACTAAGACACTGAAACTAGTTTCTCAAAACACTGACTTCATAAAAGGAACTAAGGAAAAAAAGCTGTAAGAAAAAAATAACATGCATGGGGAAATGATATTTTAGAGAAAAGCCATCTACTAATATTCTTTCAAAAATAAATGTTGCCTTTATATGACGTCCATACTGTCATTAAGCTACTTGGATTTGACAAAAGCTCTAAAAACATGGTAATCAGAAAGAGTGAAATAAACCAACTAAATTCATTTCAAGAATACAAATGAAGATGACCAGTAATTAAAAGATTTCAAAATTTTATACAATTTTAAATCAGGCCTACAAGGAAAACCAACTGTATGGCAAGAGCCCAGTATGATAAATATCACAAAGGTACCATTTTATAACTTTCCACTTTTTTATTCATACTCTGAGCTGAACAGGCGAACAGTTAATCAAATTTGTCATTGCGTACTCACTGGTCCACCTTGCAGTAATGAAAGTAAATTTTACATCTAGCTGGCTTACATACTCTTAACCCTCTAAATCTAAGTTAGAATAAAAGAAAAAAAATCAAATTTACCAGTTCCATCAGATGATTTATGGAGAGTGACACTGCTTCGTCTGATGGTGGATCCATTAGCCTACTCAGAAAGTAAGCAATCCCACCAAGCCTTAAAATCTGAGGGGAAAAAAATATAATTACACACATATACTGACATAACTGTTTGGTCCTGCCTGTGTCACTCACTCAAATAAAGCATCAAACCTATACATGATTTTCAAGTTAGCTATTTTACACAGTAAGTTAAAATTAAATTTACGATTCTATAAAAACATGTTTACAAGCCAATATACTACCTTCTAACACCCACCAACTCTATTAATGAGAAGAGAAGGTGACAGTTAAAATCTCAACAAACAAGTTGACTAACAATTATCTTCAAGGTAAGGTTAATTATAGCAAAAAACAAAAGATGCCCAAAAAATGGTAAGTAGTTTAGAATATGAGATAACATCTTAAGATGTAATAACCATAGCTAACATTGACTGAATTCTTACTATGTGCCAGGAACTGTTATAAGAATTTTATGAGGTCAATTTAAATAACTTGCCCAATGTAACAGACCTAGCTTACCACTGGAGGAGCTGGGATTCAGACATGGGCGTCCGGCTCCAAAGCAGTACATGTGACTAAAAACTGTTTAGTAAACATCTGAAGGAAGCTTAAAAACAGTTCACAATTGACCCCTGAACAGGGCTGAACAGTGTGAGTCCACTAGTATGTGGATATTTTTCGATAGATATAGTACTTGATTTTCATTTTACAGGTCTTTGTGGGGAAAAGTTTCTATTTGATTAGACATCACAACCTGTAGAATTAAAAGAACTAGGGTCTGAGTCCTGATTCTATCTTAACTGTTCCAAGTACCTCCCCTTGGGTGAATCATTTAACAATTCTTGTTGTTTTCTGAGGCAGAGAAGGCAGTAAGGGGATTTTCCACTGTGGAGGGAGGGCGGGGGGGCAGTGCCCTTACTAGGACCAATGTTGCTCAAGGGTCAACTATACAGACAGACACACAAAAAACAAATGCATGGTAAAAATTCTTTCCAGAAGATTAATATACTACTTTCTTCAATAAAAGTGTTGAAAATTAGAACCCTATTCCTATTTAACTCTCCCACCTAATTTACCTTTATTTGTAAACAAAGTTCTTCCAAAGGTGTTCTCAAAATTTCCGGCAGCTGATAGTCATCTAGAAGGCTGGCTCTAAGACCATTATACAGATGATAGCAATGACCAGGTTGAACTCTTAAAACAGAAGGGGGGATGCAGTATTATCAGCGACTTTTTAAGAACTCCAGAGAAAAGAGCAGGTAGTGAAAGTAGCCAATATCTATTTCTTACAAGACACATCATAACTAATTTACTTAATTATTACTTTATCTTTATTAATGATATATTCCTTCTCCCCATCTGTTTTGAATAACCTTAAACCTACTAAGTCTTAGTTTTAAAAATGCAAGATTGCTTCCACCTACCAATAACTTGGTTCCCTATTTCTGTTTTACAGATTCCAGACTGCCATGCTCACTTAACAGCAGTAAACTTAGGTTACTCTCTGTGCCTCGTGAGCATTTTAAGTAACAAATCCTGCCATTAATCTATGTTACTTAAAAAGCTTTTAGGTATGTGCTACTTATTGAGTTCTCAGAGAAATGCTGGAAAGTTTTTTTTTTTTACTGTTTGCATCTAGTGATCTGAATACTATTCACTGGACAATGTTATGGACAGAAGTGAAGAGGTGAAGCATTTCATGCATTTTCAAGCAGAATAAGTATTTCTATGGGCTTCTGCTATTATAGCAGAAGGAAGAGGCCCTTTTCCTATAGGAGCAAAAATAAATTCTAGAAGTCTTAGCTATTTCTGTCATGAGTCTACAAAGGCCCATTATCTATTACAAAACATACCTGAAGAAACTAAATAAAGAGGGTGGTATATTCTGCTCTGGTCTTCAAAATAATTATCAATCTAATTAGGCTTCGCTAAAGAAACTTGTATCTATGGAGCCTAAAGGGACTGTTTTCCACTTGAATTGAAACACTAATTCCACAGTCAATTTTCCCATTAGGATGGTGCGAGTAAAGCAATTAGATCAAATGTAGTATTTCATTACATTTACTTTATTTCCATGATTGTTTCAGGATCAAACCTAAGTCGTAGCATGTTTACTATTCATATATAAAAGTGTGCCAAATCATTTACCACAGTGAATACTTTTTGAATCAGTATCCAGTGGTGATAGGTCTGTGTGGGAAAACCTCAGTCTTGCTGGGTCCCCAGTCAAGTTATCCCGATAACTGATTAGAAGGTACATGTCTTGGACTAAGCCACAACTTGGGCTCAACAGCACTAACTAAATAATCTAACAAACTACCCAAAAATCAAGTTATACTGGGATAATCTGCAAGGATTATAGCGAGTGAGTCAGAGCTTTACAGATAGAGCACAAGCTTACAACCAAGGGTTGATAAAACGGTCTATAAAACTTTCTTTCACCTCTGCTTACCTAAGTCAGTACCTGAAGATTAACGGGAATCTTTCTGTTCTATCTTTGAGGCAAAATATAAACTCTCTTCTACAACACTAGATGACTGGACTACTCATATGAGTAAGGGTGTAAAAATACTGCAAAGTATACACAAAATGAGTAAGCGCAATTACTTGTATTAAAGGCAGATAATTTTTCTTACCACTAAGACAAAGATATTTTTATTTTTTTATGCCATCAACCACATCAGTGTGAAAAAAGGTACTTTCCTTGTGTTTTCATTGGTAACTGATACCAAAAAACCAGCACAGCTGTAAAGTATAGTGATCAGGAGCCCAGATCGTGGAGCCAGACTTCCTGGATTCAAATCCTGTCTCTGCTGCTTATACAGCTGTGTGACTCTGGACAGATCACTTTTAATTTCTTTATTCTTGAAATGGAGATAATAACCTGCCTCACAGCAGCACTATGGTGAGGATTAAGCAAGTTAATGTATATGAAGTGTTTTGGAGGTGACCAGACATTAAAATATTAGTAGTTATCATCATTATTACTAATATATGGTTTTAAAAAAGAAAATTATAACAGAGCTAATGAAGATAAAGAACACAGAATATTAATTTTAATTAACTGTATTGAGGAAGTACAGGTAGAAAAATCATAAAATAGTAAACCTGGCAGCTATTTTTCCAAAGAAACTATAATCAAAACAACTTTCCCATTTAAAAATGTCCTACAACAAACTTTTTAAAATATGAAAGGTAACTCTCCTAATAAATATTTTGAAATGCCAATGACACATTTTGCTGTTCTAAATTTTTATGTGTTCTAAACGCTTCAGACCTTACCTTCCAGCTCGACCTTTCCTTTGCTTGGCATTAGCTTTACTAACCCACTCAGCAGACATTGTACTGATGTTGTTCTGTGTGTCAAAGTGTGTCTCCTTGATTTTTCCTCCGTCTATCACATAAACTACATCATCTATGGTAATGCTGTTCAGAAAAAAGATACATGAAATATTAAAACACATCAAAAGCTATTAACTTATAACAGGTCTACGGACAGGGATTTTAGAACATTTTTTACTGGGTCACGTTGATTTTAGTAGTTCAAGATTTTCATCACTTTTCCCACATTTACCAACATTATGAGAATCAAGCCCCTAATCACAGGCAGCATCAGAAACTAAAGTGGCAGCAAATAGTGCCAATCCTGCAGATCATGTGCTGAATTCTTATTTGCCCACAGCCAAACTTCACAGATAGCCTGATGACTTTTGAACCGAACTTTGTGGGCTAGGATGCCATGGTTCAATGTCAGCTTCCACAGAACAATCTATTGCAGTGACTATACTGGTATACAAGTATCTCCAAGGAAATACATTTTATAGGCTATATATAACTAATTTTTAAATTACCAAATGATTCCACCCCTAACCAGTAAAAGACAAAAGAACAAAACTGGTGGGAAGGGAAATAGCTCAGACTGCATGCCTAACATGCACACGGTCCTGGGTTCAATCCCCAGTACCTCTGTTAAAACAAAGTAAGTAATTTTTTTTTTAAATCTTAAAAAAAAAAAAACCAAAAATAAAATTGACCTCAGGTCCATTGATTCTTTAGGAAAGCTTTGAAAAAAACCACTTAAAAGATTGTTTCTGAAGAGGCTAAAATATTAATATAAGGTTAAATAAAAAAAACCCAAACCCAAAACCTATTATTTACTACCCCAACTAAATTAAAATAGCTTTGTTTTTAAGAAGTTACAAAATATTTTGTAGAAAAAAAGATTAAGGTATGTTAACAATTTATGGGGCTCAAAACTAATGTAATCCTTAGTAGTTGGTAATTAAAACAATTTTTACCTGGTCTCTGCAATATTGGTAGCAATGACTATTTTCCGAACACCAGGAGGGGTTCTTTTAAAAACCTGTAGGAATAAACACATCAAAATCCCCAAAGTGAACTAATTTCTGATTGATCATTCTTGCAATTAGAGGAATTACTTCGATACTATTTATTTTTTAGCATTTTATGTTCATTCATTGACATATGCCTCTTAATATTCATATATATATTTAAATGGTATATTTCATTTTCAATATCACAAAACTCCCTTTTGGTAAACCAAACTAAATTTCCCACATATGTTAACCTCACCACAAACAAGATTTCAGATGAAATGTGGTAATTTAAATTTATAGAATGTTTTTAAACAAAAGCTGGAGAGTATAAACATCTTATTGTACAGCCAACTTCTAAGGGAGAGGGACGAAAGTTTAGTTTAAGGACAAGAATTATGAATTACCCAACACTGTATAGGTGAAGACACCAACCAACCAGACAGATGCCCACCTCCTCATAATGGATTCAGCTGGCTGTGCCACTGTATACTGGCTTTTAAGATTAGACTGGATTTTTTTAAGAAATCCTTTTCAAATGGTGAATCCTATAAACATCATGTTGGCAAAGCCATTCAAGTAGAATGAAGACAGGTAGCCAAGCACTACTTGGTTGTAAAGCAAAAATAATAATAAAATGCATAAACTTATCCCCTCAGTTATAAAAACGGTAATCAATAGAGGAGATGTTGTCAGTCTTTTCACATATTATCTAGCAAAGGAACACATAATTTCCGGTTAGGGGTCAGAGATGGAAGAACCTCCACATTAGATACTCTTTCGTCCAGTCTTTGGAATCAAGAGTTCACTCTTTCCTCTTCTTCCCTCAAGTGTACACTCTGTATCTAATCCAGCTGGCTGAGCCTTACTCAGGACTAAGGTTCCAGCAAAATGGTTATATTAAAAGTCTCAATAATAAATGTCTTGATATTTTCTTATAGAAAGAGTGGAAAAACTAGAAGGAAACAGAGGTACATTTTCTGATCCATCTCATTCTACTAGGAGCTGCAAACAATGCAGTCTAGAAAATTATCCTGCCTTTGAGAATGCAGTATTCATTCTAACCAGAGAAATCCCTGAATCGGACAGAGCCAAAACATCTAAAATCATAATGCAGTACTGAAATCTCAAACATACTAAAATACCTCCAAGTATATAAATTGTCACATCAAAATTTCAAACATCAAGCTGTAGCATGTCATAGATTATTAGTATCTAGGTTGAGTTATTTTTATTGGTACTCACATACCTTTTTCTTTTATTCAGGAAACCCAAACAAGTTATTGGTGAATCCAATCTTTAAACATTTCCCTAATGTTGACAAAACTAATTTGACTTGTGGACTACCCTCTCTTATTCAAGTTTTGGTGCAATCATCCCCTGGAGACTCATTTAAAAACCTTCTCAAAGAAGTACTGTTCTACGGATTACTATTTGAAAATGTGCCTTAAGAAGTAGAAGAAAATAAAACACAATAAGCAGTCCTTAAAGCTTGCCTCAATTTTAAAAACAAATAAATTTAACAACATACCTGTGTCTGGTTAACTGTAGGCATCAGTGAATGTAAAGGTATAATAAGGAATCTATCTGAAAATCAGAAAATTAAATTTTAAGATAAATAGTTGCAGAAAAGCTCCATCAGACATATATGGAACAATGAATTCATATACTAAACCACATAACTCTTAATTTATATTCCTTATAATCAGACCAACTTTATTCTTTACATTGTTTTCTGAATGCTCCAACAAGTTCACGTCAACATTTTTTTCTGTCAATTTATTTCATATTCTCCAAATTCTTAAAGAATGCTTAAAAGTTGGAAGCACTCTCCTCAAATTATACTAGAAAAACATCACTAACTCCATTCCCACCACTAATTAAAGACCAATGGATTGTGCTTAATAAGAATGCATATGTTTAAAATAGGATTACCCAAAGTCTATAATCATACAAAGAATGTTTACATTTTAAAAGAAAATTACTTATTAAATTTTGATGTCCTACTTAAAAATAATGAAATGGTGCTGGTTAAATGTAATACATTCCAAAAGTGACCCACATTTTAAAACATAATTCTGTTAAAAACATTAAAAAATGTATGTTTTAAGTTTCAAAATGAAGTAGCTCAAGACTATCCATGATTATTAGCCAACCAAGTTTAGTGATGGGAAGGAGGGAGAGTGTTAAGGAAGCAAGGGTAAATTTCACAGTTACAAAAAATGCAGCCTGATTTAAACCTCTAACAAGAATGTCTGAATGACCCAAGACAGCTGTATTTCCCCAGATAAGAACTACTGTTATTCAAAGGAGATAAGATGCTCCCTAAAGAAGACTCTCTATGACCAACCCTCCTGAACTTAAAAAGTAGTATAAAGCCATCAAGTAACTGGCATTGCTGAAAAAAAAAAAAAAAAAGAATGCTCTGAATTACTCATCTCTGTGACACAATATGAAATACATCAACTAAAAATACTTAAGTCGAACTGAATCAAGGCTTTAGATATAATTTCCAGTTTATACAAAATACAGGCAAGAGGATCAAATGAAATAGATTCAGACAAATCCAGAAAGTTGCACCTAGTCTTTTCCACAAGTCATTACCACAGGCGAAGTGAGGGGACGATGGGAGTGATGTTCCCGAACTAGAGTAAAAGATTTACCAGTTTGATTTTTTCTATAGTTTCAACAATCTAGATATAAAAGACGCTTTGGGGGAAAATGGGAAAATTTGATTTTAGACTGGATAACCAGATGATACTGAAGACCAGGTAAGACAATGGCATTGTGGTTATATAGAAAATTGTCTTTCCTTTTAGAGACACATGCTCATACATTTAAGATAACATGTGACAGCTGCAATTTACTTTGAAAGTAAAAGAAATTTTGTTGAAGACAATATAATTGGGATAAAAATAATTTATATTGCTGATACTGCACAACCAAAGTAGTCAATGGGAACAAAGTATACATTTTTATGAGAAGAAATTAAGAAAGTTGATAAGCATTCAATGGTTTCAAGATATACTTTTCAGTCAGTACAGAGTTTGGCCTATTTCCCTCACTTCTATATGGCTAGCATAATATAAATGATTATCAAGGCCAAATTTTAAAAATATAACTTATTTGAGAAAAAACATTCCTATTAAATTTTTAAAAGTTTCTTTTAAAAGAAAATAAGTTGTGGTGGAAGTATAAATTACTACTTCGCTCCTTGAGAACATTTAATTTAAATCAGAAAGTTAAGGAAATCAATTACAGTAATCTATAACATCATACCCTTTCCCCACTCTCCCAAAAATGATCTCCACTGCTCTTTTCTCAGAAAATATATACACACTCATATTTTTTTAAAACTAGAAGTAGATTATACAATAGTGTTTATCACAGGGGAAGAAGCAGCTAGAGTTGGAAGGTTAGACAAAGAAATATTCCAGTTGTTTACAAAAATAATTCAGTTGTATAATAGAATCATGACTACACTTTTTCTATAGAGAATGGTTATCACCGACAGGGAAAAGAGAAAGTAGCATTTCTTTACAAATAAGTCATGGTAATAAGGTAAAAATATTTTTCCACCTAGAGAATAGAAAATAATTTTAATTATTTAATCCTTGTAGGGCATTACCACAATGGGATTTGACAAACAAGAAAAAATATTTTAGCCAATAAAATTAGATCTAAATATTTTTTAGTGTTTTGTAAAAGTAAAATGTATAAAAAGCCCTTAAATAGAGTATGGTTAGAAAGCATATTCAGAACCATAAAATACTAAATAGAATGCTTTGTGTTTTACTGTAAAGTCATTTTAGTAATGACTTCTGAAAACGCTTTAACTGAGTTTCATAGGCAAAAAACATCCCAATGCATTTCTCTAAGACATAAGTTTTATCTCTCAAAACATGCTGTTAAAAAAAATCACCTGAGGAATTTTTTAAAATTTCAGATATTCAGGTCACATTCTAATATTTGGGGTTAGGACGAAATCTGGGTATCTGAATTTTAAACAAGTGCCATGGGTGACTCTGTTGTACAGTCAGACTTGAAGAATACCAGGCTAAGGGATTAAATTCAAACTTTTTTTCTGCCCAACTAAATGCAGTTGCGAGTGAAAAAACAAAAACCTCAAATGCCAATATCCAAACTAAATTTAAGGGCTCAATTTTATTAGGCAAATTTAGGAAGACAGGGAAAACAGTTTCACCATAATACCAAATATAAAGAGCTTCACCTACATACCTACAATCTTCACCTCTGACTTAGAATTTTAGGGGAGGAAAAAAAAAGCTCCAACTTTTGTAAAAAATCCAACCTGGGCTAAGCTCACCAAGCTCAAGTGAAAGAAAATAAACTACATATGATTCAAGTACCACCCCTGGAATTGCAACAGAATACATTTCTCTAATACCTGATTTAAACATCACTTGTGACATCAAGAGATCATGTAAAGTGCTGATATTGTCCCAGCCTGGTAGAAAGACCAGTATTGCACCATCCTATATGGAGGGGAAATAACCATTACAAAGGATCACATGACAAAATACACCAAGAGTACAATTCTGTGCACATTCATATCTTCATTAAAATTATACTAGGTCAGGATGATCTTAGTTACTAACTATAACCAAAGAACTGATATTAACTAGCATTCATTAGAAAGATAGAGAAGATATTCTTTAGAATTTCTTTTTAAAATCCTAAATCTAAAAAGTCACAGACATTAACTAAAACCAAAGAGTTTCAAAAAAGTGAAGCTATTAGAATTTATTAGAAGAATTTATTTTAGGATCACTTTTTATAAACAGGATTTACAATCCAGACATTTAATTTGTTTAGTCTTTCCTTCAAATAGGTCAAATGTCTAAATTTTTCGGTAGTTTGAAATTCCTTTTTCAGGTGACAAAAACCATTTCATCCATAGGCTATTTTTAAAAAGCACTTAAGAAAATTATTTTTCTTTTTTCATGGCCTTAATATGAAAATAAAATTGAAATTACGTCCCTTGAAGAAAAACAAAACTAACCTCTTCTTGCAAAACAATATATCGAATAAGGGCAGCAATCAAATTCAGATCAACTTTATCATCATCCATCATTTCCATAACATCTACAGTGCTTGCAGAATACCTATCAAAGTCAAATAGAAAATCATGAAATACTTGATAGCTCCCTGAAGTTTAATTTGCTAGAAAATCTTAAATTAACTCAACCTGCAAATGGAAAACGTAATCAATAGACAGGAAAGAATGATTGGGATTATAATAGAGTTTACAAGTCAAATCAGCATAGTATTCAGCTGGAATGAAGACTTGCAATGCTATCCTCAAATATGTTCAAAGTCAAGACAATCATGCCTTTTGTTTCAGTCTCTCACTTTCAAACAAAATAGACTTACCTTTTCCGCAGTTCTCTCACATAACCTGGCCAGCGTTCTTTATAGATTGCTTCTTTTTCTTCTTTGTCTTGTCTATTTACATGTCCTTGCATGAAACCCCTTTTAAACTGGGATCTGTGTTCTTTTTGTTCTGGAACATACCTAAAATAAAAACATTCTTAAGTAGTTTTTTTGAAACACTTTGGTTTTAGCTAATAATTTTGATTTTTTACATTTAGGATTTAAAAACAAATTTAAAGAACATATTCACTACACTTCCTAATGAACACTAGTTAAATATCAATATATCTGTAAGTATTAATTAACATATGAAATGACATTTTAGATAAGAATCATTCTTCTCTATCAAAGTATATAAACCTTTTGATCATCTTTAGCAATCAAAATTTTAAAAATAACTGAGGTTTCATCTCTAAGTTTATATTTGCTTTTTGATTTTAACTTACAAATCAAGTTAACATTAATATAAGTCCCAAATAATGATTGCCTAGAAGGACTCAAATTTTGAATAAAGGAGATTTCCAAACCTGAGTACACACAAGAATTCCCTGAGAAGTTTGTTAAATACAGCTTCCTAAGTCCTATACCTCGTAATTTGGATTCAGTAGGTCTGGCTGGGGTCTCTAATCCAGGAATTTCAATTAGTGCCCCAGGAGATTCAGTGTAGCTATAGACCTACAGACCTATACTAGAGAACTATTTAATTCTGCTCAGTCCCACAGACACAGCTAATGGCAGAATCAGAATCAGCATTCAAATCTCTTACATGCCAGTCCAGTGCTATGCTATGACTCCACCATGCTGCAGTGCCTGCTAACAATAGAGGGCATCTGCCCAAGAATGCCACCTACCATAAGTGGGTTCTGAGAGGCATGTGGGTGGAGACAAAGAAAAATGAGTCTACACTTTAACCCCAAAGCCCCTCAGAGGTCACCTACAGGACAGCATCTAGATGGAATAGGGGGTGTGGAGCATGGGTTTTGTGAGTCAGACAGAACGGTTCTGATGTTCTCGCTCTGCCACTGACTAGCTTTGTGACCTTGGGCAAGGTATAAACCTCTGGCCTTTAGTTTCTTATTTGAGAGATTAATACTCTTAAACCAGTACTGGCATGAGAATTTTTAAAAAGTAATACAGCACAGTGTCTGAAACATAGCAGACACCCCCAAAGTGTTCATCAATCCCCTTCCCTATTCAGTACCTGTGACCCAGGATTCCCCTAAGTCTTCGATACATATAGAGGCACCAACGTGAGGTAGGGCAACCTGAGACAGAGATTGGTCTAGTCAGCAGGATGGACCCACAGCTGGTTCCCTTCCCAGCAATTCCAAAAATAGAGGTCACCTTTAACCACCCCCCTCCAAATACCCAATCACAACCCTCCATAACATCTCACCCTACTTTCTTCCTTACTTCCCTGTAGTGCAGCTCTTCTTCTGGGAAGAAAATAGCTGAGGACCTCTGCTAAAACCTTTTTTTCAACGACCACCCTCCTTCAATTCCCCTTTTAGAGCTGACAAGTGCATAGATACCATCCCTTTGCTTCAAGAGACGCCCCCCCACCTTTTAACTACAATGCCTTGTACATTCCCTGCCTTCTAGAGAGCTTAAGAAAGCAATTCATCTTTATGTAATTTTAGATTACTGATCCCTAAAACTTTGCTTTCATTATTGCAAGCTGTTGCCTATTTTAGAGAATAATTGGTAAATGTGCTTTGGTAGGAAGTGGGACACACAGTAAAAGTGGAGCTGAGAAGGGAGAGCATACAAATTTATGAGCACTGATGATAAAACCAGAGCACAGAAGACCAACATACACTCTTTCACTATTATATATTCCACCTTAACATACACACTTCCCTCTTTACTACTCTGAATTTCATGGCTTTCCTGACTTGTCCAGTCTATCTCTGCTTTATAAATTTATTCCTCAATATACTCTTCAATTCCCAGAACTGGCCAGTCACACCTTAGAGTTAAAGCTTGTATGTCTCCCTATCTAGATATAAGCTCTGAGGGTGAGGGAATCTTTCCCTTGTTTTACCCTCACATCTTACTGCACAGTGCAAGCCATAAGTTCAAAAAATATCTGTTAAATAAATGTCCACTCAAAATTCAGCTGACTTTTCTCCACATAAAATATGCAGCCAGATCTTTGTTCTCACCTTCCCACTAACACTCCCTGGTTTTCTCCTTTAACAAGTAAGCTGTGGAGTCTTGAAAAATATCAGCACAAATGTTTCTTTCTACATTTGTAGATACAGTTACTCAGATGTTTACTATAGGTCAGGCACTGTGCTATGGACTAATGGACTAGTTACAAAGATGAACAGGATAAAATCCTTGACCTTGAAAATTTGAAATCTAGTGCAAGAGGCAAATATAAAGAGATACGTTACATGGCAATAAAGTAAGTGTTATAATAGATATGGTAAGTACTCTGGAAATATTGTTGAGAAAGTACCTCACTCTGTGAGAGGTATCAGAGGAAGCTTAATGGACAGTGAAGCTAGGATTTGTTCTTACACCACTCATAGTTTCTAGGTGAAAGGAGATGGAGAAGGTGGCAAATATAACTCTAAAAGGAGGAAACAGCATGCAACAAAGCATAAAGTCATGAAAGAAAGGGCACAAGCTGGCACAGGAGGAATAGTGTATTTAGGAGGGACAGACGATGGGATGCATAAGCCTAGAAAAAGCAGGTGGGGCCAGCTGGTAAAGAGACTGGGGGTGACTGGCTAAGGAGCTGGAACCGGATTCTATGAGTCTGTACTTTCCCAGCCCCTCCTTGTCAAGGAATACAGACATAATTTTGTACAGCCTCTCGAGAAGCCTGCTAGCAGCTAATGGCCAGTGCTGAGGGGATCAATAACTTGGGCATACAGCTGAGGTGCTCTGTTCCAGGCCATGACAGGCTAGTTTTCAAGGAGAAATCTCAAGGGGCTCGGCCTGAGGGAGAAAGCTCACATGACCCGATGTTTGGGGAAAACAGATGGCAGCAGTTGTGAGAATGAAGACCACAGTGCCAAGAGGGACTATTATATCAACACAGGAGAGATTAAATAAAAAAAAAGGTCCTTAAGCAGAAGAATTGAAAATGAGAATGCTTCAGAAGAAAACTCTCAGGGTTTTTGTGAGGGAAAGTGAGATGGGATAAGGAATGACTTAGAGTAGCTTGCTTACTAAGCATGTAAAGCAGTTAACAGACCCTGGTACATAACTGCTTGATAAATACCAGCTCTTCTGATCGACTGCTCAGCCAGCCGGGTGGAGGATAACAGCAGTAACCATTACAGGACATACTAAGCAACACACATTGTTTTACTTTTTTTGGTGGAAGCATGATGAGATTTAAATATAAGATCATGATATTTGTTTGAAACATGTGAGGTTCAAGGAATCTGTGGTACTGGAATGCTGTTGAGTACAGAGTTAGGTAGCAAGCTTAGAGTTCAGGAAGAGCCTCAGTTCTGAAAGCTGTGAAAACATGGAACTATGGTCATGGAAATAGGATTGCACAGTGAAATCGTAAAAGGCTTAAAAAGTCTAATGAGAACTTTAAGGGAAAACCATACTTAAAGGGTGGGGAATGAAAGCCAGTAAGAGAATGAAAACCAGGTAGGAAACCAGAAGAGAGGTTCAGCACTGAAGACAGAGATCCCCAAACTTTCCTGCCCAGGGATCAGTTAACAACACTGATGCCTGGCCACCAGCCTAGACTTTGTAAGGTAATTAAGGTATCAAGTCTGAACGTGGCATCTGGATCTTAAAAGACTCCAGGTGATTTTAATGCGCAACCAAGTTTGGGAATCCCTGATTTAAAGAAAAACAATGTTTTAGAAGAAGTGGTTTCTGAGACTAAAGTTTGACAGAGGAATGGTGACATATTAGTACATTTTAACCTCTTTTAGTTCTTAATATTTACTTACCTTATTTTCTCAATTATATCTTCCAAAAGATACTCCACAACCGGAAAGGTAAAACCAGGTATGTGTATCATTGGACAGTTTCCTATTGTGGTAGATAAAACATAAATCTAGACTCAAATATTCAAAAAAAACCCCACCCAAAAACAAAAAACCCAAGACTTTAAATAAGACAATGACTCCATTACTTTTCTTTTTCTTTTTTTTTTTCCATTACTTTTCTTAACTTCAGAAAATGGCACTAAAACTTTTATAGCTCTACTTTGTATTTCCACTATCTATCTGAATAAAAAGCAGCAGTCTAACCTTTACTCAGTATCAGTTTACTGCTACCAAACTTGTATGCACATCTCACAGTTCTACAAAGTAAACTAACCCAGGATACCAAAGAATAGAACATTTTAAGTTGGCCAAGATGGTGCCATCAGAACCTAAGTTTTAGTGAAATTTACCCCATGGTACCCAGAGTTAAGGAAAGAAAAGAATTAGAGACCTAACCAAGTATTAAATTGTTGCTTATTATTTTAGAATCACTAGTAATCATAGTAAAAAAAAAAGTTTCTTAGTACTATTATTTAAATGCTATGTGTTTTGTACCAAATAAACTGTACACACTGTAAACAATCGCCAACAACGCAGCAGAGATCAAAGTATGGCATCACATACTTTGGAGGTGGCACCACAACTGTGCCTCTGACTTGCCTAAGTTTACTCAGTGTTAGCTCTGGATTTCTCATCAAAAAGGACAGAGACAAAGACAAAGCCAAGACATAATACGCTCAACTAATCGCATAAGCCTTTTGAGGGTCAACTGGGCTGAATACAATAAGCACATTAAACAAAGTTCTATTCCATTTTAACTCCCTCCTGTTTCACCACCTTTCCTCAACAATTATTAGCAGGAGAGACAGTGAGGCATAATTTTAAAAGAATGTACTATGAAGCTAATCAAAACTAGTTTCAAATCCTCTTGATCCTGTGTTATGTATGTAACCCTGTGTAAGCCACATTTAACTGCTCTGAGGCTCCTTTCTCATCTGTAAGAATGAGAATAATAGCTCCTACCTCACAAGGTTATTATGAGGATTAATGAAGACATGACAAATATACTACCTGGCACACTGAAGGTGTTCCAGTATGGTAGCTAGTTATTACTGTTATTAGCAAACTGCCACCTTAGCTTGTAATATGACATAAGTCACAGAAGAATAACAAAAAAAGTTTATAAAATTATTCAAATCTATTATTTGACTTCATTAATATCACCTTAATTATCTGGTGGTAGCACCAAAAGGCTACATGTCTTCACCATGAGGCCAGAGACAATGCCACCATTCTTTAAACAGATCCCCCCCAAAAACAAACCAAAACAAACAAAAAGCAAGTCCACTTCTCCAATTCGTGAGACTAGAGGGTAAGCGACTATTTAAATGAAATGAATGGCTAAACATTTATTTTGACTACACTGCACCTAGCACTGTATTAGTTTTTTTTTTAATTAACTCTAAATTCAGTGGCTTTATGATAACTTCCAAAAGTAACAATCAAAAATTTTACTCACCAAAGTATTCTGAAAATTTCTCAGCATTCAATGTTGCACTCATCAGTATTACCTTCAGATCAGGTCGATAACTGAGAAGATCTTTAATAACAGTCATTAAAACATCCGACTGTAGATTTCTCTCATGGATTTCATCAAGCACGATATGACTAACACTGGACAAATGCCTAAAGCAGAAGTGTAAAGTTTGTAACTCAGCACAAAATTCAAAAATGGAACCATTTTTCTTTCACATAAATTAATAAAACCCAATTTAATTATTTAACTAAATATCCTAGGTTGAAACATACTCACGGGTCTGACTGAAGCCACTGAAGGATGATTCCTGTCGTACAATATAAGATAGAACCTTGTTTCCTTGGCAACCGACTATAAATGAAAAGATACGAGTTAGTTCTTGGTTTTCTTTACTAGTAAATTACTAAGTACCACAGAAGTTTAAAAGAAAATCTTCAATTTAAAAAATGCTTCCCATTTTAATGAAAACTTTCATACTTAACTTTTTATTTACAGGAATGCCTACTATGGTAAGAGTAATGAGAAATACCACATTCAAGTTCATTATACATTATTTTTGTTGTTATGATACAATGTTAGTGATTTCTTCTTAAAGGCACAACCATTAACATTCCAAAAAAGACCAAAAGACTTAGGGGATTAAACTTCCGTTCAGTGACTGGGAAGTCAGTTGAATTTGGGTTAAAAAAATGATTCTGTGGGTTGCAAGCCTCCTATGCTGCAGTTACTTAAAATGCTTATTGTAACAGTAATATCACAAAAATGGGGGAAAAATCTTCCTTTTGAATCTTTCTTTGAAACTTCGAAGTTTCACTAAAATCTACCTGTAAACAGAAATGAACATACTTTACCTCTGTAGACGAATCTGGTATCCCGTACTATTACCATTGCCACAAGATTCTGCCCTTTCTGCAGCCACTCGCTCTGCAACCTGTAATTAAAATGCAGTCACAAAGAAAACATTTCTTTTAGAACAAATATCCTGAATATCTGTGAAAATCTGGAACTGCTGAAATACAATTTATTAGATTTTCATGTGAGTTAAATAAAATACAAACATATTAAAATCTGAGGTATCTAAAACTGTGTCCTTTAAGAACTGAAGACTACCCGCTGCTTATGTTTAATTTTCATTTCCTCTGAAATTCTCTCTCGTAATTACTTTCAAAGTTACTTTCTATAGGATCCTCTCTACCTTTCTGCCTTTTTAAAGAAACTGGGAAATCATAATCTAAACTTCTAACACTTGCGTATAATTTGAGAGTAAATACATGCTGATACTTTTTTCCATGTTTCTTTAATAGAGATCGATATGCTTAATTCCTAGTGCTTGGTTATACTCTTAAAGTTATGGCAGCCAAAGATAAGCTCTGGATAGATGAAATCTTATAATCCAATACAGATCTGTGTAACTAAAAGTAAGCAGCTGTTACCGTGTGATAGAACAGTGATTTATAACATTAGAAACAGAAAAATGACATTATTTTTAAAAAATAATATTTCAGAAGTAAAATTTACCAATCATTATATCCTGTATACTCTGACAGATCATCACTTCACTTCTTACTACTTATTAAACTGCCCATTCAAATATCAACAAATCTTTGGAAAACAAGCAAAAAAAATAAACCTAATTAGCATTTCTCCTTAACATCTATATATATATGCATATACTAGTGAAAATGGTAAGATCTGATTTTTAGCTTAAGTCTAGCTATAGTGTTATGACAAAAATGGCTTATTTTTCACCATTTTGTGAACTTACACCTTTTCCAGGAATATGATCCTCCCACAAAGATTACTGCTTTATTTTTAATAGTATCTCTTAAATTAGATTTATACTGTAGTTCTTCCAAAATACTGCCATAATTGGTAATGCAGTTCCTGACCACAGATTCTGAATTAAATCACTTAGAGGTGTAATAAATAGCACAATCATAAAACCAAATACAATCAGAAATCTTCATAATTTAAATTTACACACAGAATTACGTAACACTGAAATAAATGCACTATATACAGTGAATGTTATAAGAAACCCCAAACATCTTTAAAGAATATATAACTCATATTTAGCTAGGTCATCTAACTAAACACAATCCAAAGAATGTTATTTGTAATAAACATGTACTTATACATTTTACATGACAAACCTGAAACAATGCCTTTATTTTTTTAATGATAAATTCCTTCTTATTGAACTGCATTTAAAAATCAGATATACAGTTACTACTAGTTAGTATATTTATATATACCGAAAAAAATAAATAAAAAAACCCCAGCCAGAGAGTTGAAAGAGTACTGAATGAGTCAAGCAAAATGTAAAGCATCTAGTAACGGAGATTATTTGAAGCGTGTAATCAATTCTATAAACACTTAGCAGTTTTTCATTCTTTTAGTATTATACTAAAAATTGTCTGGATTTACCATTTATCTTGAACTCCTAAACATCTAACATCAGTAAGATAGAGGTCATTCAATATTTTGGTTTTTACTACCAAGTATCTGTTAACCAAATTTTGCTTTCCCAGCAACGTATCCTAAACCTAAGAATCACCCCAACCTTCAAAATCAGTAAGTTCCAGCAAGACTACACAAGGAAAATAAAAAACCAAGTGGGGAATTTTAAAAAGTGAGAGATTACTTACTGAAATGGCACTAATTCTTCTCGGCTGAGTACAAACTATCCTGCATGCAGATCCTTTTCCTCTTTCAATGTAGTTATCCAAAATGAACTGAGTAACTTGAGTGGTTTTTCCACAACCAGTTTCACCACTTATTACTGTTACCTGATGGTTGTTGATCATATTTACTAATTCCTGTTTCAAAAGGGAAAATAAGTAAGGGACGTCACATGTTGACACAGTCTGAAAAGACAGTTATCAAAATTCTACCTAATTCAAGGTAATTGTTTTCAACAAGCATGTTAATACTTTTAAAATTCTGTTACATGCAATGCTGGCAGTTTGGATATCTGGATCAACCAGTTTTCAAGAGGTAAGCAGCATCAAATTATAAAAAGAACAGAGACAAGACATATTAAAGAAAACCACACTGACAAGAACAAGAAGAGACCACTTTTAAGTCCATGCATAAGAATTAACATTAATTAAAAAGAATGTTGACATATGGGGCTATTGCATACCAGGCTAATCCTCAGATACCTAAGTAACTACTGAGAACATTAGGGGGTTTATATAATTGATAAATATGGCTTTGTCTGCAGGAGAAGTTTTGTATATTGTTTTTGAGAAGAAGGAAGTATATAATTTATTTCCTTTTAAATAATTAAAGGCAAGTTTTAAATACCTAAATCAAATGGCTAAAATTCAGATATCTGGAAAACCATCTATTTGGGAAAGAGCTTAAAAATTTTAGCCTGACACTAATATTTTTAAATTAATATTCACTTTATTAACAAAACCATCCCATTACTTCAAAGGGGTGTTATGGGTTATTTTTATCTTCAAAACAATTTAAGTTGAAAATCCACCATTTAAAAATTTCTTATCTATACTAACACACCACATATATCAGAACAAGTTCCAAGTTTGAACACTGAAATTATAGCTGACAGGTACTGAGTAGAATGTGATTCGTTCGTTCAACAAATATTTACTGGGGGTCTACAGAATGTCAGGCACTGTTCCCAGTCGAGCGGCACAGAGTGAACAACAGACTGTCCTCAAGAACTTGCTAGGAGGGGATGACACCTAGATGTCAGGTGGCAATAAGTGCTACGAAGAGCAAAGAAAACTCAAAATAAAGGAAGGTTGCAAGGTCAGAGGAAGATGGGAGATTATATTATTACATTATTCTATATAGGGTGACTGTATGAGGCAGTATCATAAGTTAATTAAAGCACTTATTTTCAGTAGTGCCCCAATTTTAATTAAGATATTTGATCTGTAACAACAGGTTCCTAATGCACAGCACAGGGAACTATATTCAATATCTTATAGTAACTTTTGGTGAAAAAGAATATGAAAACAAATATATGTATGTTCATGTACGACTGAAGCATTATGCTGTACACCAGAAACTGACATATTGTAAACTGCCTATACTTAAATAATTAATTAACTGCAAGGATATTTACCCAAAGCAACTTACATGTGAAAATTCTATTTTTTAAACTCTAAAGAGTTCAATCATGGACATAAATATGAGAAAATTTCAGGAAAATTGTTTCACAACTGTTTTTTTTTTTAAACCTTCAACAATTCAAAAGAATAAAATGAACTTCAAAGAATACCCTTTAGGGAAATGTTCATTAATTTGTGTTTCCTCTTAATATAGAGCTAAAGAAATGTATTTAAGTATTTTGCAAATCAAATTAAATAGTATATATTCATTTTACCTTTTGCATTCCATATGAAGGCAGCTTTTCCCTGAAATGCTGAAATTAAAAAAAAAGTTTAATCTTCACAAAAGAAATGCAATCAAATTACAATCCTGGTAAATAGAATATGTCATAAATAAACATGTTAAAGTCCAAAAGTATTTTTATACCTCACAGCTTATAAATGTCAAGACCTAAAAAAAGTATTAAAAAAAAAAAAGAAGAACTAATGAACTTAGCAATGGGATCATAAACTGAGGACAGGGAATGTCTTATTAGTCTTCGGAAAATAGCATAATGACAGGCATCTAGTATGTGGAAAAACAATGTTTATCAAATAAATTATAACATAAAGAAAAAATATGGCATATTATCAAGCAGGATTAAAAAGTTGAGCTCTTAAACACACCTGGATTTTAGACTTGATTCCATTACTAGCTGTGCAATCATAGATATGACATTTAACCTAAGATTCTTTTCCCTCCTCTGTAACAGACATGCATAATCTCTTGTACAAGGGGTTGCTGAGAGGTTCAAATGACGTAGTACATGTGAAGCATTTATAAGTGTCTCACCAACAGGAAGACCATCAACTGTTTTATGTTTTGCACATTTCTTCTCCTTTCTCTGAACTAGATCAGTCGCTCATCGTCAATAATATTTAAGTTCTGTCCTCCATACAAAGCAGAGACAGAAGCTAACTCTTCTTGTTCCTAAGGCTATAAAACAAGCTCTGCTCTCAACTAAAACATTCTGAATTAATTCATCTTGAAATCTCCTCTGTCCTTAAATCGTATTTTCAATCAAAAGGCATCAAAGAGCTACACAATTTGGTCCCTAGACAACCTCAGCTGATCTGTTCTAATGAGGATATCCAACCTTCTGTGACAGTCAACAGAGCCTTTCTTTCCCACAGAAGATGTGATCCCCTGCCTTTCTCAAAAATGGCAGTACATATTTGCATACTAAAGACACGGTAGTCAGAATTCCCTCTTTTAAAAAAGTGAACGTTTTATATCTATCTCTAGAACATCCACAAAGTATTCAATTTTATGTTTTAACAGGAAAGGACCTTAAAATAATCTTGCCTACCAGGGAAAGAAAATACTGGAAAAACTCAGGAGAATTTCAGCTGTCACAGTTGTGTCTTTAAAATGTTGAACACAAGCATCATATAACTTTTGAGGGATTTAATTCTAACACCTGTAAAAGGAAAAACTTGGATCTGATGTTCTAAAAGAAGAAACTTTACAATACTAACCACCTTGTCTCATGATACCTCATTAAAATGGCCTAAAGAAGTTAAACTTAAGAGTGATTTTTTTTTCCATCTGTACTACCATTTCTCAAATATTTCTTCTCACTATATAAACTGTTGTAGATGAGATAGGCTACTTAGGTGTAATTCCATTCCTACAACTTTTCTGCACTGTAGGGGGAGAAAATTCCCAGAGATTGGCTTATTGAGTAATCTCACTGATCTACATACCATGCAGGTAACTCTAAACATAAATACATTTTTATCAACTGCCAGAGAGGTAAGTAAATTTTTTTCCCATCTTGCTTTCCATTACCTGCATTTCAATATACCGAAGGTCAGTTTTTTTCTTTTGTAAATCTTCCAATAACTGTTGGTCCAAAGTTACATCTGGTTCATTTTCTTGCAAAAGATATTCAGAATCGCGGTCAATATATTTGTCCCTGATTCTAAATGGCCTTTTTTCTTGATTTATTAATTTTTTTTCCTGATCCTCAATTTTCTTTACTGAGTTTGGTCTATTCTCAGCAGGAGCTTCAGTACCATATCTATTTTGACACACACACAAAACAAAAGGAAGAAAAAGATAAAAGATTAAATGAAGAGACACTCAAGCCCTGAAACAAAGCAAAACAATATGTTGTTTAATAATTTCAAAATCACCAAAATCAAAAGCCTTTATTCTTTTCTCTTAGTAGAGCAATTTGAAAATACTTAAATTCTTATAATGAATTCTAATTTTTCCACTATACAAAGAGACCAGATATGCTGCCATATAAGTTAGTCCTTGAGGTAGTTAAAAAAATAAAAATCCACACAATTAGTCATTCCTCCACTGCAATGATTTAGTGTTTTTCTTTATCTAATTTTCTAAGCCTTGTTTCATTTCACAACTTCAGTTTCTTCACCATTTCTGAGCTATAAATGGTATGTTACATTACACAGTCCCAGAAAAACTACTTCTAATTTTCCCGCAATGATACAGTTCCCATGATTTTCCTAAAACAGAAGCAATTTAACTTCTTGCAGACATCCCCCACAAGAGAATTTCAGAAATACAAAGATGATGGATAGGAAGAACAAAAAATAATAATGCAATAAATCTCATATCTAGATAGAGATTTAGCTCTCCTGTGGGAATAAGTCACCAAATTCTTCAATCTTTCATCAAATCTTCTTCATCTACATGAGAAAAAAATTATTCTGAGGCGAAATTTCACTTATAGAAAAGTCTAGGGATGCTATTTTTATTATCTTTTTTCTAGCCAATGATATAAAAGAAGTATCGGTCTTTGCTCATTTTTTTAAAAGAATACTTTTTGTTTTACCCGTGATCTTCAGGAGTAAACCAGGATATTTGTGCTTCCGAATCTTTATCACTCTTAGCTTGCACAGAATGTAGCAGCTGCACGATCTGCTCTTCTCGACGTTCATCCATATGTACTACAGCTCTCTATTTCGTGCAAAGGAAAAAGCATCCTTATTGACATGAGCAAGCATGTGCAAAATTATTTGACAACTAAAACAATTAAAGGCAAAGTAATATATGTTCAACAAACATATATAAAAGTTAAGTCACCCCAAATTTGCCCTCTTGAACTAATTCCATCTCCTAGATCTAATTAATGTTAACATTTTTATCCTTCTGGACCATTTTCTACTGTATGTCTATAAAATTAGCACTAATCTTACTGCCAAAGAAATTATATTTATGTCCCTTAATAAAACTTTGGTTCTCTTACTTCCCACCCCCACATAATACTAATTGTTATGATCTTTTCCCTATCTTAAATTTTAAAAGATACCTACAATTAAATGTATTAAAACCCAAATGTTCTGGTAAAAACAAAAGATAAAAACTGAAAATACTATCTTGGGTGCAATGAGCATTGTAAGAATACATTTAAATGTCTTACAGCGTAAGGAGGAATAAACTGGAGAATAAGAAGGCTGATCTCAGAATAAATAAATAAAATGATCAGTGCTCATGAAAATGATAATCCAAATGATGCAGCTGCCTCAGAGAATGAGATTTAATTAAAAAGACAGAGAAAATATGAATTACATTGTTCTCTAGGTATCGAGTACATGGAAGAGAAAATATGAGTTACACTGTACACAACAGGAACTTTTAAAGACTGTTCTTTTACAATCACAAATTATAATTAGCTGAATTATAAGTAAACCCAGTAGCTGAAAGAGTGGGTAGATTTTTTTTCTTCAAGAGTACAGACAGGAAAGATGGCCAAGGTACTGAATGAAAACAGCAGCTGCAGAAAATATGTGCAACAGGATCTTGTTTTCATTATTATTAATTTTTAAATGGTTATTCATTTTTCATATTGTATACTTTTTGCAAAATTTCTTGCAGATATAATTCTGGTACATGGCAGATCCTCCAGAGAAGTCTATCAGATGGATGGATGAGTCTATCTTTTACAATGAGCATGTGTAACCTTGTGTTAAATCATTTTTCTCTTTCAAGAAACAAAACACACACAAAAAGAATGCAATGAGATCTTTGGGGAATTCCAGAAGACTTCTGCTGACAATTATTAAAGGATTTTCTAAAGACATCATTAGGCTCATACAATTGAAACGTCCAATAGAGCAAAACGCTAGCTGATAGGAATGCATTAGGAAATTACAAACTGCAGCAAAATCTATTTAGTGACAGACACTAAAGTCCAAATTTTTCTTTTTTTATTAACTGTACTGCATAGAAATCTTTTTAAAATGGTTAATATATTAGACTAATGTATCTTTTCTCTGTAGTACAGGCTATGCCCTCTCCACTAGGACTGGAACCTTGCACCTGGTTTCTCCTGGACTCTACCCTCTGCACCGTTTGCTCATGCCAATTTTAATCTGTAATAATTTGCTGTTAATAACAGTTACTGTGAGTACACCACCTTTCAGAGATTTGTGACCCCTTCTAGAGAATCACGGAACCTGAGGGCAGTATTGGGAACCACCACAAAGGTTCATTACTAGAACATTTTTGCCCTATGCTTTAAAATCTCTAACGTCTTCAGCACATATTAATACTTGCTGCTCTGTGTACCTACATAAGATAGTGATGGATTACTACATTCTTTCTTGGCCTTAGAAATTAAAGAATCCTCAGCAATACTTTGATTAAAGTCTCCAGAGAGGGAAGCCCCAGGACAGTCATTCTCAAGCACAGCTTCCTTAATTTTCACACCCTTTCCGAACACCTCAAGAGCTCAAAGCCATAGTTTCTTTCATTCACTTTCAAAAAGGCAAAGATAAGATTAGGTAATTTTAAGAGTGATTTCTTTTCCACTGAAGCTCATTTGCACTAAAGCATTTCTTCAATCAAACAGGACTTTACATTTTGAAACTTCTACCTCTACTAGCATCTTATTCTATGAATTTTAGATATCTACAAAAAGGCAGGATGACTGAAAAATGAAACAGCTCCTGAAAAATTTATACTTTAAATTAAAACACAGTTTACATTTTTAAAAATAAATTATTTTGAATGAGGTTCTCTGCACAACGAGGTCCACAGGCTGTGGGCACTGAATGTGGGAATGCTGAAGTTCCAAACCTGGACCTGGCCTTTCTTTGCAGGCTGCCTCTCTCTTCATGTTCCTCCAGCTCCACTGTCCTTCACTCCATCTCACCTCCTCTGCCTGAAGAATCTCAGACACACATTTTATATAGACACACACACGGCTAATTTATTTTTATCCAGGTATTTGATTTTTTTGATCAGTTCTCTAGCTTTCTGGACATCCTCAAATAATCTTTCTGCTTCTAACTGTAAATTCCGGGCAAAGGAGATCTCAATGATGCCCAGCAAATTGTCTATCTCATCAGCTTCTAATTATCAGCAACTGTTTCAAACCTTCCCCATTCTCTGTACCACCCCCATGCCGCTTTCCTGTTCACCCTCAATATTTCACACACAAGATTTCATGAGGAAAACAAAACCAAAAGGAAAAGTCCTCAACTGCTTGCCACCAAACCCACACCCACCTGTCTCAGAACCCATCTTTTGCTCTTTTCCTTTCTGCTAAATTGCAAGAGGAGTCAACTTTCCCACTTAAGGCTAATCTTTCCACTAAAGCCCTGCAGCCCACTCCCTTCCACCTCAAGGCTAACTCCTATTGAGATTTATCTTCTCGCTCTCTAGCAGTCTTCAGGCTGTATATCAATATATACAAAATATGCTTCTTTCCAGATATAAAGTAGAACTGCATCTCCCATGGCCATGTGACTGTGAATGGGAGTTTCTAAGAATTAGGGGCTATTTACTGTATTTCCTCCCTGCTGCCACCAAAAAGTTACACTCTAGAGGGTGGAGGCTCTCTGCACCTCATTCTCATAATGAGAACTCTCAAGTGAACTCCAATGGTCAAGCAATGTGAGGAGAAAGCAAACCTTTGTTGCTATAAGCCATTAAGATCTGGGGACTGCCTACAACTATGGCATCATAATTTAGTCTTCTCTGATTTACTTTTCCTCTCCACTGGCTCCTTACCATCAAGTACATCAACTTGAACAGAAATCTCTCCAACTGCCTGACAGTGCCCCATGTCTCTATTTCCCCTTCACTAGCAACCCCACTGCAATCTGGCTTTACTTCCACCAATCCACAAAAAGGGCTCTCACCAAAGTTACCAATTGTCTTGCTGCTAAATCCAGGACACTCTGACCTCTTATCTTACTTGACATCTGTGCAGTGTTTACCACCATTACTTCTCTTCTTAATCCACTCTTTTCTCCCTAAGCAGTACGCCTGGATTCCATCCATCTCCTTACTTTTCTCTTCTCTGGCTGCTTCTTCCTAGATTCTTTTGCAAGATTCTCTTCTTTGGCTCATACCTTACATTTTCTTGTACTACACGGAATAGACTGAGTGATCTGCAGATCAGCAGCACTGACATCACCTGGGAGCCTGTTAGAATAACTGAATCTCTGGCCCCACCCCAATTCTACATTTTTACCAGATGCCAGGTGATTCAGGTTTGAGAAGCAGTGGTCTACAGAGTTCGGGCCTGTGTCCACTCCTCTTTCACTTCTATACCCAACTACTATCCAAAGGCCCACAAACTGTCAAACGTTCACCTGAAGTCTAGATTCCTCTAAGCATCAGGTCCACGTAGCCTTCTACCCCTTGAAATCACCAACTGTACGCTCTATACTATCAGACTCAGTATCCTTAAGCTGAGTCTGTCGTCTTTCTCCATCAAGCTTATTCTTCATATAGTCATTAAAGTGCCATTCATTCACACCTCTTTCTCCTTCCCTCCAGATAAAATCACTTACTCTCCCTCTAAATCACTTCTAGCTGTCCACTTCCCTCCATCTCCACTGCCTGTGTTCTAATTCAAGCTGTCATTTTCCACCTTAAGGACTGCAAGATCTACTTAACTGGTCTCCCTATTCCAGGACTGCCTCTTTTTTATTGCTACCCAGCATAAATTTAAACACAATCCAATTATTTCATTTTTTTGCTTAAACGCTTTAATGGCCTGCTAGAGCTCTTAGGGAAAAGTCAGTAAATTTCAAAGCCTGCTTATTTTCTGGTCCAGGATCTTTCATACTGCCGTCTGTAAAATTAAAGGAACATGACCAGTATTAAAAAATAGGGCAGAAAAGTAAAACCAACAACTACAAAGCCCCAGGGCAATGTACAGGTAATTAAGTATTAATATTATTTTATAAAACTTTTGTTCACTTATACATCTGTGAGTTGCAAATTAAAATATATTCTTTTTTATGGAAAGTGGTCAAAAGCGTGAAAGTCATTGCTCTACCCTCCTCTCACTACTCTCCACACCCATACCTTGTCTCAGTTCCCTGAACACGTTCTTCTGACCCTGATAGGGTTTTTAGAAAGTTACTCTGTACATCCTTTAACACTAATTACTCAGTTATTCTTCCAATTTTAAGATGACTTAGATGTGCTTCCAATAACTTTTTAAAAAAAAGTTTGCTCAATGAACAAGTTAATTTTTGGTTGTCAAAGAAATATGCTGTTTTTGTTTTTCTTTAAAGAGAAGTGTATAATAAGCTGTGAAGATAAATGGATAATGCCCTCTCCCCGTTCAACAAAAATGACACGGATAAAAGAAAAATAAAGAAATAGAACGATTTAAATGGCGATTCAACTACACTCTGTATCTAATATGAAAGATGCTTTTAAAGTTACTAAAAAGCTGTTCTAAAGCTTATGTTAAGAAAACTTAGGATTAATCACATATATACACATAATAATAACTACTATTTTTATTGTCATCATCAGAACGGACCACTCAGGGAACTTTAATGTCTCCTTTACTACAAACTCTTCAGGATACAAATCAAATGAACACTTACCAACCTGAAGAGAAGAGACTAAGCCAAATCACCTCTTGAAATTCCTTCCACTTCTAGGATCCTAGGTTTCCTTCTCAAAGAGAAGCTGCTAATCAGCAGAAACCTCCCCAGCCCAACGTAAAATCAAAAAACCTGAGTTTGTGCCTATTTTAATACTAAAACTGAAAGCTGGACTACTTTCCTGAAGGATCTATATTCAAAATAGTGCTTGATGGTTTCCGCGCAAGCCCGTATCTAATGTATTAAGTAGCTAGAGTTCATCAGGCAAAGAACTTCAGTGAAAGTGACTAATTATTTTAAGGGAAAGGGTAGCCAAAGATACTATGACAGTGACACCCCAATAAAGTTACTTTCGGTTGGACCCTGAATTTAACATTTGTTTTGTCCCCAGCTCTCACGTCTTAGAAGCGGAAGTGTACACACGGCCCGCATAAATCTCAACTGCTCATGGCCAACGGTAACCGCTTTAATATCCGCTACAGAAAGATTTACCACCTGCAATTCGTAAAGCACATGCAGCAGATAAGAAACAAAGTTAAAAAAACAAAAGAAAAAAAAGTTAGGGGCAGCAAGATGGAAAACAAAACCTGTCCTGCCTCATTTCCCTCCACTACCGAGTCTCAGATTACCTCCTGCCTCTCGGCCTCCTTGTTTTTCTGTCCTTGTTTCCTCGCGTACCACAAGCCGATTTCGCGGCCTTTCAGGTGCCCGGGATGTCGGCCTCGGCCGCCTCGACCACCTCCTCCTCCGCCGCCGCCACCTCCGGAGCCTCGGTTCCCCGAATGGCCTCCTCCATGGCCCCCTCCATAGCTTCCTCCATAACCCCCGCCGGAGCTGCGGGGCCCGCCATCGCGGCCCCAGTTCTGATGGTAGTCATAGCTCATTGTCCCAGCGGACTTCAACCCGTGAGAACCTGCAACCGATGGAAATGGCGACCGGGCCCGGAAGCGGGTGCGCGTCCACTTCCGCTTTGCTTCCGGCGCCCAGCGCGAGGGGGAGGGACATTGAGTGTCACAAGCGGCCATTTCCGGTGACGTCAACGGCCGCCGGCCCTGTGGGTCCCGGGATCGGCGCAGGTGAAATCCCTTTTGTTACGCCTTCAGTTGTTTACTTTTGTACCTTTGGAGGGAGAGCCAGCAGGTGGCTCGCCGGTTTTCTTTCCCGATGCCCAACATGTGAGGAAACGGATTTTGGATTTTACTTTCTTATTTCTCCTGATAAGATCCAGAGTTTGCTTCCTTTAGGCCCTGTAAACGTCATAGGCACAGTAAAAGAACCTGTGGATCGAATACTTTGTCTCCTAAACTCCCTAAAGAAGTGAAATGAGTGCACTATTTTTCTTTAAATAGCTATGACATGAAAACAGCCAAGCACCTGTTTCAAACACGTAATTTAAGTATAGAAATGTCCCTGCCTCTTTTAAAGGATTATTATTATTTACTACCTTTATCCAAAAGCTAAGCTGAGCCTATCTACCCAAATTCAGTGCATAGCACTTTGGCAATTTAAATGAAACAGCAGTTGAAGATTCCTATGAAGCCATCCATTACTGATTGACCAGAACACTTTGAATGTCTGGCACATGCTGTTCTCGAATAATCAATTGACTGGGCCACACAGGTTTGGAAGTTTACAAGGGAATATCCAGTTCACTTACACATGTAACTGATTTAAAGGTGATAGGGATACTCACTGAACAAGACAAGTATGGCATCAGCTTTCATTTGCTTATAGTCTTGAGAAGCTAAAGACTAAAGAACTATGTGTTATGAGTTAAGAAAGGAGAGTGCCTATAAAGGGGGTCCAGAATATATCTCTATGGCATAAAAATTATTTTGAGCAGAGGCATTTGAGTTCCTGAAATCTCTAATCTGCCTAATAGCAGAGTCTCCCAAAACAATTCAGAACCCTATTGTCATAAATCTCTTCCTTGGGAGAGGAACTAGGCAAGATTGACTCTTACCACTCGAGAGTGCAAACCAGCACCACATGTAAAAAGACATTGTAACAAAATTATCATATCTTCCATTTATTCTCATAAGAGCCCATTTATCTTTCCTAAAAGTCATTTGTTTTCCCATAAATACCTTTCTCCTTCTCCCTGTAAGATGATACATAAGCCCCAAGTTCTAACCTGTGCTTTCAGTCACATTTTTCTGTAAACTTCCATAGGCATGTGATTAAATGTTTTAGTGGTGATAAATCTGTCTTTTGTCAGTTTAATTTGCAAGTCCCGGAAAACTAAACATAGGAGGGTAGAGGAAAGTCCCTTCACCTAATAGCCATAATATGTTATAGCAAAAAGAATTTAATTTTGGAGTCAGGTTAGATCTCTAAAGAATGAGAGGGAAAGCAGTGACTTTTGAGATAAGTAGACTCTAGCCAAACTAAGGGGGAGGGAAGACAATTATTACAGGTGGAGGTAACAATGTGTATGAAGAAGGATGATAAAACATTGCAGAGTGAGAGAATTCTACACTGGAATTGAAATGACTGATGGTGAAGGTCAAAGAGATAGAAAGAAGTCTGATCATGAAAGACCTTAAATGCCACAGAACAATAATGCATTTTAAGTAGGGGAGTGATTACTTTGGTTGCTTTGAGTAGAAAGGAATGGAGGAGGCAAAAGTAGATGTTAAGAGACTGGTTAACAGGCTGTGATGTAGGGGAGACAAAATGGGATGACAGAGTAAGATAGGATACGGGAAGGGCTGGAGTTAAAAGATACCAGGAGATAAAAATTGTCAAGATTTGATGGTTCACTGGATGTGAAGAATTAGAGGGAAGGGTCAAATGATTTCCGAGTTTAAGATCTGAAAGATGACCAAATGGGAAGGTACCATATCCTGAGATGAGGAACATAGGATGAGAAGGATTGGCAGGGAGGGGGGGATTTGGGGGGAGGGTTAAGTTAATGTATTTACTTAATACTTGTAGAGTTTGAGACATGTATGAAACATACAAATTGAGATGTCTAGAAAGCAGTTGGTTATATGAGTCAAAGTTGCAGAGAGCAGACTGAAATACATTTGGGAATTCTTGGCAAATATTAAGATAAATATTAAGATGAATAGTTCCAACAAATGTACCCATTAGGCACACCTGATATGACAAGTATGTGAATTATTCAGTAAGTAAGACTGAGTAGTCATACTGGAGTTGGTAGGGGGAAATGAGAAGGGAATAGTGTGGACTGTTGGGTGAAAAGATGTAATAGACTGAATGTGTCCCCTCAAAAATCATATGTTGAAGCCCTAAGCCCCAATGTGGCTGTATTTGGAGATGGTTCCGTAAGGAAGTAATTAAATGAGGTCATAAAGGTGGGGCCCTAATCCAATAGGAGTAGTGTCCTTAAAAGAAAAGACACCAGAGACCTCACTCTCTCTTTCCTCAGAAGAAAGCCATCAGAGGACAGAGATTGTCTACAAGCCAGGAAGAGAGCTCTTACTAGGAGCCAAATCAGTCAGCACTGTGAACTTGGACTTCCCTGCCCCCAGAAACTTGAGAATAAATTTCTGTTCTTTATGCCACTGAGGCTTAAGCCTGCAGTATTTTTTTATGGCAGTCTAAGCAGACTAGTATAGAGAGTAAGGCGGAGAAGAGAACTAGCATTTATTCGTCACTTAGTATTTGCTAGGTAGTGGGTTAGGTGATTCACATTTGTAGTCAGCAGAATAATGACCCCCAAAGATGTTCATGTCTTAATCCCTGGAACCTGTGAATATGTTACATTACATGACCAAGAGAAATTAAGTTTGCTAATCAACTGACCTTAAAATGAGGACATTATCCTGGATTATCTGGATGGGTTCCATGTAAGGGTCCTTCAAAGTGCAAAAGGGAGACAGAAAAGTTTATAAAGGTGTGTTATAAGGACTCAACCAACTTTTGCTGACTTTGAAGATGGAGGAAGGGGGCCATAAACCAAGGAATTCAGGTAGTCTCTTGAATGGCAAAAAAATGGATTCTCCTCTAGAGCCTCAGAAAGGAACACACCCTGCCAACCCCTTGATCCTTGATTTTAGCCCGCTAAGGATCCTTTTCAAAAATTGTACACTAAAGAATTGTAAGGTAGTAAATTTATGTTAGTTAAGACTGTTTTGCAGTAATTCATTGTGGCAGCAACAGGGAAGCAACTAAATTCTATATTTCACACAATCCTCATGACAATCCCAGACAGAGAGGTAGTGGTATCTCAATTTTTTTGTAAATTGTATTGTTTCTCTTAACCTTATTTTTGTTGAACCTAAACAGAATCTTAGTCATAAATTTAAAATTACTAATTTTTCCTGATTCCTTCAGCATGAAGTAGTATGGAATTGCTTGAGGCTATTGCTTTAGGCAGACGTTTTAGAACAAATGTCACTGTAGTCAAAACCTGCACAAGGAAGATTTTTCAAGGAAAGATTTGAAAAATACTGGTATGAAGAAAAGTGTCAGTTGTTACTTGGGTTTTGGCTTTTTCCCCTGCCTTGGTAGGAACCACAAGAGGAGAAAGTCTCAGCTGATAAGGAACACTCATTTAACTGCTGTTGCTTCTACTCAACTCTGCCTTCCAAATCCTGTGCAAATGTCTCTTATTGGCAGTTGCTAAATCTGAACCTTGCTGGCAGCAGAGACTGGAACATATAGTTTTCAGTCTTATAGTTTCAGTAATACATGGAGGACTTTAGAAACATTGAGATATTCCAGAGTGTTAACAGAAAATAGATGCCAGAGGTAATTTTCTCCCCTAAAGTTACAGATTCTATAGATAGACATTTGAGAAATGTGTAGGGGGTGAAGGTGTAGCTCAGTGGTGGAGCGCATGCTTAGCATGCATAAGGTCCTGGGTTCAATCCCCAGTACCTCCTCTAAACATAAATAAATAAATAAACCTAATCATCCCCTCCTCCCCAAAAAAGAAATGTGAACTTTTTTTAGTTACTTAGGAAATCGTCTTTATTTACTGAATTGGAATACAATTTTGTCACCATCTCTGCTGCTAACCCTAGTCCTAGCCAACATCGTCTCTAACCCAGACTATTAAGATAGCCTCCTGACTGTTCTTTCTCTAATCATGTTTGTGCCTGTACAGTCTTTCCCCACTGACAGCAGACAGTGATTTTGAAATCAGATATGTCACTTCTTTTTTGAACCCTCCAATGGCTTTTCTCCTCATTTAGATAAGGTCCCATACCTGGTCTACAAGGCCCAAATGATACACCTCTTCCTGCCTTTATCTGCTTGTCTTTATCTCCATCCACTTTTCTCCCCCTCATTCATCTGCATTCACATTGATCTCCCTGATGGTTTCACAGAATACAAAAGGCACACTCACACTTCTGGAATCCTGCTCTTCCCTTTGCTGGGACTGATTTCCCTAAATAATTACACAGCATGTTTCCTCACTATTTGAGTCTTTAATGAACTGTTACCTTATCAGTGCAACCTTACTGACTAAAGTACTTGAAAAAGCACTCCTTCCATCTTTATCCCTTTATTCTAATTCTTCTTAGCATTTTTATTACCTTTGGTACCTATTTACTGTCAGAATACTTAGCATTATATGTGTGTGTTTGTGTGTGTAAATGTATAGTGAAGAACTTAATTCCATCCAAAGACAGGGCTGGCCTTTGCCCTTCCAAGGAGGTGATCTGTAAACCCTTGGAATATCACGCCTGATTGGAGTGACTTTGTTTGTCTGGGGGCCTTGGACCATCCAGATAGTAACAGTATGACTTAGGGTGGAGGCTTTGACTTACTCATTCCTTATTAGCTTGACCTCCTGAGGAGCTGGGAACTCTGTGAGTAGTCCGCCATGCCTCGCCTACTCCTACTATGGCGGAGCGCCTTAGATGACTGGACACCGAGACTCAGATGAGCTTCCTTGTTGACAGTACTCCATGTGTGTAGTCACACATGGATGCCAGGAAAGTAATGCTGTCCATGACTCCTTGGGGAGAGGAAAACAGAAGCTCCACTTTTGGGCTTTTTCTGGATTCTGCTGTGTGTGCTTCTTCCCTTGGATGATTTTGATCTATATTCTTTTCTTGTAAAACACCACAAGTGTGAGTATACAGCTATCAGTGAGTTCTGTGAGTCCTTCTAGTGAATTATTAAAACTGATAGTGGTTTGGGGAACACCCTGAACTTGCAATTGATGTCAGAAGTGAGGGAAGTCTAGTGTGGGCTGTGTGCTCCACATTTGCAGCTGGCTCAAGCTCACAGTATATATATTTGTTTTGGTTTTGTTTGTGCTTATAATCCTAAGTACCTAGAACAATTTTTAGCATGAAATAGGCATTTGTTAAGTATTATGATGAATAAATGAATGAAAGTAGCAAAATAGTACAAGAAATTAAGAGAAAATCTATTTATGAAATCCAATACTACAGAACTATATTGAGAAAAAACTTCCAAATAACATGTAACCAAGTCTCTCTTTTTTTTTATTATATTCTAAGTAATATTGTGATGTTTTCTGTCTGCAAAATGGTTGCCTCTGTCAGTCACAACTCTTGGAAATCTTTGGGATTATACAGTGTGTGTTTATATTATTGGGGGGTTTTAGGGATTATGCCTTTTCAGTTTATAGGAGCCACCACCAGATGGTGATATTTTTATTAGATAACAAGTAGTTTTTGTCTTTGGTACATCAATTTATAAAGAAAAGAGATAAACTATGTGAAATAGAGTATTTATTAATAATAAGAACAGTATAACAATACAAGGGTAAGATATTTAAATATAACATGAGATGTGTATAAGGGTATTTCCTACACCAGAAGTACATTTTTACAGTCATAATCACACTGTAAGTAGACTTTATACTGGTGTAGCCGACCCTTCCCCTCTCTTAGTAGGGATTGGGAGAAGTCATTCATGCTTAGCCATAGCCCTCTGTAGATTTTTCTTGTAGATCCAATTACTGTTGGCTTGGAGTTTGAAGCGTTACAGGTTAGTAATGTGATGCTGATTAGCCTCTTAATCTATGGCTTTGGGCGAAATAATCCTGGTATTGCATCAATGCAGCAGAACTTTTAAGTGTATCCATTATATAGTTAATTCAGCAACCCAGGGCAATTAAATGTGAATATCCTAGGGTTTTTTTTTTTTTTTGTATTTTGTTTTCAGTTTCTCCAGCATAGGCCCAAGTCCAGTGAAAAGAAAACAGAACACAGGGATATATATATTATATAAATATATATATTCTTATATATATATATATATATTTATATAATACATATATATATTTTATATATGTAAATATATATATAAAATACCAGAGAAAAGGGGTATTACTGTCTTCCAATACAATTCTTGTGTTCTTTAAATCTTGATTTTCATCATCTTCTCCTCTCCACTCAAAATCTGTGCAGTTATAAAGGATTTGTCCTCATTATTCCCTTCAGTTTTATTATAATTCTCTTTCTCATCTCTTTGCTGCTAGGATTGTACTTTAAACAGCAAAATACCTTTTCTCTTTCACACAATTATACATCTAAATTTAACATATCAAAGCTTGTCTTTTACAAAGCATTATTAGAATAGTCAATTCAACCTTTGCTTTTGTAACAGACATTTAATGCTGCTGATTTATAACATCAGATCTGGCCATGTGTCATTATGTCAAATTAACCCTCAAGTTTGGGGATAAAAAGTACTTTTAAATTAAATATATTTATAATGAGAATACATCTGGATTTGAATTTATATGTTATGCATTATTCAAGGCTTTCTTTGCAAGTATTACTAATGACATTACATTTGCATCCCAAGTTTTGATAATGATATATTGAGAAGTTAGATAAGAGATAGGAAAAGTCTATTGCGATAATTATTTTGAAAATGACTTCTTGGTAAGCAAAACTATCTTCTAAAGGTGAAACAATCTGAAAGCCCATGTCAAGTAATTTAGAATTTTGACTCATATAATGAAACAGAAGCCAAAATAAAGCATTTAAAAAATAGTTCACTCAGCCTGAAAATAATAAATAATATATGTGAGTCAGGTTAGAGTGTACAAAGTTTAAAACCATGTAAAGTATCAACTCTTAATAACTTTGGAAAATTAACATTTAAGTAATACATTTAATGTATGTTAACAGAATGATTAGAATAAAGCAATTTGAGGAAAAATTGCTTCATAATTTTTGAAATATACATTACTAATACTCTGACAAGGTGATTCCTGCATTTTTGCAATTAACACATTTAAAAATCAGTCCTGAAGTGCCTACCCCACAATCACTTAATAAAATACACTGAGTTATTTCTTGCTTGAGATACATGTCCTTGGGAAAGAAATGAAAAAGCACCTAAATTTGGAATAATATTTGAACTAAAATTTTCTATGCTTCAAAAGTGGCTAAGAAAGTTTGCCATATCTGCAGCTTTAGAAACAGATGCTTTCGTGTGGAGTCGGAGGATTTTCCTCTGCTCTGCTCAGAAGTTTGTTACTCTACTTGGGTGTACCTCACAAAACTTAATCTCACAGTGTTTTCCCCTGGTTTCCGTTCAAATAAACAAAATGATTCTAGAGATGATGAGTCTACATTTAGAAGCTTTTCCAAGAACGTTAGAGTTAAAGGCTACTTCCAGTTCTACCTGTAACATAAACATATTTCTTTTAAGGGTAGTCTTGACATATTGGAAAGAGGAAAGGAAAACACTCATGTTTAAGAGAGAAAGAAAAAATTCAGTAAACAATTTATATTTTATAGAAATGAAGGAAACAACTATTTACAGACGAGGGGCATGCATGTTTTGAATCGGGAAGCTAAATTTGCCATTTTACACAGAAACACATTTCCTAGACATCAGTGTAAAGCTGGAGCAATCCCTGTACTGTGCGGGCTGTGCTGGCCGCATTGAGGCAAGCCTCCCCAAATACAGCCCCGAGTTCTGCTACATGTCTTCCATTCCCAAAATGTCATTTTTCCCTCCTTGCAGTCAAGGCCCACATTATGAGTAGAAACACGTGCCTGGGAACAGTATGTTCATAGAGTTTATACAGCTTTCTGTTTACCCTGAGGTTGACAAACATAGGCGAAAACATCCGTAAACTAGACCAAGATCTGATTTTAAAAAGATTTTTAGAAATCAGATAAGAAACAACATCTTTCAGTTACCACAGTGCGTGATCTATAAGTAACACATCAAAAGCACTTAGTGTTTGCACCAGTTCCAGCTGTTTGCACTAAAAGCAATGAACTAGTACGTCTAGAAAGCTTATGTAAACCGACACCTAAAGGAGGGAATCAAACAGCCTCAGAACGGAGTGTTGTTGAGCGGTTTGAAACTGCAGGGCCGTTCTTGCCTTTATTAGGCCAAGTGACCGTTAGTTACCCTGACTTTCTTCTTCTCTTTCCCGGTAAGCTTTATTTAACAACTGGATTTCCTCCTGGTAGCCATCCCTCTCTTGGTGCTGCCTTTTACTGTTCTGCCTGTGTGCTTCCACCGTGTCTGGAATGGAGATGTTGAGATCCCCCCCAGGATTACTTGTGGGTAGGAAGAGAGAATATGAGGCTGTTTCCCCTAAGTCACATGAAACGAATCTGTTTTCTTTCCGTGAGTAGCGCAGCGACGGAGATCTGACCTGTGTGGAGGACTGGCTGATGTTGCTAATGATTGACACGGTGTCCAAGGCCTCTTCGTTATCACAGATTTCCAGGACCTCCAGGTGTATTTTCACACTGGTGTCCGCAAACGTGGAGGGAGAATCTTCTGGGTTTGGCTCGTGGCCGACACTTTTGGATCGATAGACTTCTATTTTCTTAGAGGCTGGGGTTATTTTTTGTCCTTCTGCACTCACCTCATAGGTAGAAAGAGAGAGAGTTTTCCCAGTTGGGGATTGGAGAGACACAGTCCCCTGGAAAGCACACAAGGGAATGGCCAGGGCACCACCGGAACGCTGGGGACAAAAACATAGTGGTTATTATTGAAAACTAGTGTCTGAGCTGGGCCATTTAGAAATTCATTTTGTTCATCAAAATGGGAAAGTTTTTCTATTTCAAACCCACTTCCGTAGAAACCTCTTACAGCCATGGGACTGAGATCCTGTTGTCAAAGTACTGTAGCTTATTTTCTCCTAGGTCAAATACTACATCTAAGTGAGGGCAATCAGAAACCTTTTTTATAAAATAAGGGATATATTTCCACAGTTGAAGGCAAAATTTATGCACTGTGGCCAGCAGTAGATGGGCAGAACATGGGCATAAAATCGAATGCATATTTAAACTCTGGAATTGCTTTTATATTTTTGTTACATGTTCAGTTACATTTAAAAGTTTCCATAGGTTGAAAGAAATGTACACTGTGTTATCAAAATGCATGTTTTTTTCCCGTTTAGTCAATTATCAGAGAAAATGATAATTGTGAGACTGTGGTTCAGATTAAGGCAAAGAATATTTCAACTCGTAGGTCTGACCATGCAGAAGAGGAACCAAATGTCACCAGCTGTACTTTTCCACAGAGAAATCACAGTCATTAAAGTAAAGCCACTCATAGAGAATTCCCTCACATCCTTGCCGTACAGCCTTCTTTATTCTGAGAGCTAGTTAACCTGAAAGCTAAATGTCCTCACATTACACTTTATTGCAAGAAGGAAAAACATCCCAACATCAGTACTTTAAAAATTGTTCATAAGTTTCCTCTTGGTGTAATACACTGCATAAACAAAGTCCCATAAAGTATAGTAGTTTAAAAAAAGAAAAACGTGATGATAAAACTAAGTTATCAGTGCCTAGCAGTATTGGCATGTCTATTTTGAAAAAACTTCTATTACCGGATCGACAGCACAGTCATATCTTTGTATGTACCAACTTGCATCCCTGATGAGCAGTTAATATAAAAGCAAAAGCAAATGTGATTTTTTTGTATCTGATTTTATACATCCATATAATGCAGATTTTAATAGCTCTCCATGCTAACCTTATCTTCACATGAAAAAGCAAGTTTTATTGAGTTATCAATGGCATCTCATTACAATTGGCATTTTAGGGCTACATAGTGCCAGAGTTTAGCCAAGTATGAAGTGTGACTGCTCTGAAATAGCACAGAGTCCTGAGTTATCAAAATTATTTTGTGAAACATTCAAAAGACTCTATGATGGAGAGTCAGCAGTAAAAACATAGAGACAGAATATATAGAAATAGATCTGAACATACTTTAAACTCCTAATTAAAAATTGAAAGATTAGTTTCAGCAAACAGTACTATCACTTTACACTAATTCAGTAATTTAAATTTTACTGGTTATGAAAGTATTCAATGTATAAGTTGTTTTGGTTTTAGATTTGTGTAAGAACTGTAAGTGTGAGTTTACACCAAATTTTGTTTGTATGTCTTTAAGCAAAATCATAAAAATTTGATTTGACAGTGAAGTTTATAGATTTTTTTTTCTTTTCTCTCATCTATTACTTAAATTAGAGAAACATTGCTCTAGGTTTGGGAACATGGAGCTTGAACTAATGGAGCAATAATAGAGATAGAGATTCACGGAGGGAGGGGACAGAATTTGAGCGAAATCAACAAGGTTTTTCACGTCTTTTAGGATGTAGTGGTGAGGCTAAAATGGAGAGAGATTAGAAGCTAGGAGAACAGACTAACTGAACCCCTGTTACGTACTAGGACTCCTTACTTAGGTAGGTTGATAGTAATGGAATGAAGAAGCTCTCCTATCTTAAAAGCCTGTAGAATGCAGAAACACTGAAGCTCATGAGCAATTGTCTTTCCCTGTGATTCGTACTACAATAGTACCCAGGCTGGAGCATTATGAGAATATGGAATAAAAGCACCTAATCTAGGTGGAGTGAGGGAAAAAAAGATCCTGAAAAAAAAATTCGAGATGAATAGGAGACAAAAGAAACAATGTTTCCACATGAGAAAACTCTACATGATAAATATGGCAATTTTCTTTTACTGTATTGGTTTAATACAATTTTAATTAAAATTCCAGTGGAATACCAATGGAATTTTATTTTAGAACTTGAAAGTTTCTTCTAAGATTTATTTGCAAGAGTAAATGCTTGTGGATAACCAAGAAAATTTGGAAACAGACTGAGATGACTTTGCAAACATATGAAGCTACATAATTAATACAGAGTGTTAAAGGCAAGATTTGATCAACCAGGCAAAGTCAAGAAACCTGATATAGTATATCATGAAGATGGCATTTCACAATAAGGATTCAAATGAACTTTTACATATTATTCGCTATTCATTACAAAATTAAATTAGACCCCTTTTCATGTTATATGCAAAAATGATTTCTTGAGTCTTAATAATTCTTTTAGAACCCTGGGTGAAGAAGACCGTTTCAAATCTGGAATGAAAATCAGAAACAACAAATCAAAAGATGGGCTGATTTTGATTGCAGAAAAATTTAAAAAATGTCTATATAGAAATATATGCTAAAAGTGATGGTAAAAGGCAAATGGCAGCCCAGGAGACAATATTTGTAGCACACATAAGACAAAGTTTGACAGTCAAAATATGGAGAGTTTCTTCCAAATCAATGAGATAAACATCCTAGTAGAAAAGTGGAGACAGGAAGAGGGCAAAGCAATTAAAGGAAGAAATATAAATTGGGAATAAACATATGAAAATATATTTAATTTCATCAAGAATCAAAAAAGGGTGTAAGTGAAAACATTTAATCATTTTTAGCATTTCAGATTGCCCCCCTGCCAAAGAAAAAAGAAAAAGAAAAAGGAAAAAAAAAAAGATGCCATCTTTCCAGTGTATTTTAATTGTAGTTGACTATAAAATAAAAACTACATACACTTCCCAGCAGTTCTATTCCTGTGAGTCAATTTGAGCACCAAATAGTCAACACATAGTAATGTTTATTTTAGCACTGTTATAAGCTCCCAAAGTAGAAATACCTAAATGTCCACCATTCAGAAAATAGTTGAATGAATTACGGTACAGTTATCTACTGCTAAAGTATCTTGAAAGAACGAGGTAAAGCTATGAGTTCTGCCTGGATAAAATAATTTCAATACACTTTGAGTTATAAAAGCAAATTGCAAAATAATATGTATAGTATGATCCAGTTTTCTTGTAGAAAAATAACCATCAGAAATCAACCCAGAAAATTATACATGTGTAAGAAAAAAAATTGTACAGATACAAACGCACCTACATATTATAGGCATAGAAAAAGGTTTGAAAAGTTATATGCCAATGTTTTCTCTGTACGTAGATGGGAGGAAGGATTCCTACTTTTATGTTTTAAATTATTTGATGTTGATGATAATTTTGCTCATGGAAATTGATTAGGTAAAAGAAGAAGCAGAGAATGCAAAATATCACTAGAAAGAAATCTAAGATACAAGGGGAGGGTAATAAGTAAGTTGCCTATGATGGTAACCAGTCTCAGGGTTCAGTTAGGAGCTTGTGCTGCTTTGGGGGTTTGTGTTGCATTTGGGGTTTGTGAGTCAATGCTGTATTGCAGTTTGTGCTGTTTTTTAGGTTAGAAGAGAGGAGACAAGCTGGGTGAAGGGTACTGTCTCAAAATTTTGCCCTAATAGTTGATTAGAATGAGAATCTCAATTGGGATATACCTTATTTTTCATTCACATTTTAAAAGTGAGAATGACACTTAAAATTTTTTTTATTATTATAAAGGAAAAGGGTCCTCTAGTCCTAGCCAGGCACAAATTTATAGCACAAAGTGGCCAGGATCTATAATGAGTCAGATTCTCCTCACTAATTTTACTGGAAAAACTGTTATAAACATTTCAGTCCAACAAGGTGTCAATGTAAATATTACGTTCAAATAAGCAAAGAATTCCACTTCAGGAAAAAAAAAAGAAATACTATAGAACTTGAGTCACAAACTACAGTTCAGCCCACAGATTTGCAAATCATTCTACAAGTTCTAAAACAGAGACTAAAAGTAGAAGCAATAATATCCTATGAGAAGATTAATTTAAAGAAAAAAGATAATGTAAAAGACTTAATATTCGATTTAATTCATCTTGATTTTTGTACTGGGTTGAATAGTGCCTCCCCCTCCCAATTCATATCCATCCATGACCTGTGAATATGACTTTATTTGGAAATAGCATCTTTGCAGGCATGCTCAAACTAGGATGAAGTCATACTGGACTACAGTGAGCCCTAATCCCAATAACTGGTGTCCTTTTAAGAAAAGAGAAATTCCGACATAGACTCACATAGGGAAGATGGACAGGTGAAGGAGACAGCATTTGGAGTTATGCTGTCATAAACCAAGATAGACTCCTCCCCCAGAGCCTCAGAGGAGCACGGCACTGCTGAGACCTTGATTTTGGATTTCTGGCCTCCAGAAATGTGAGTCAATAGGTTTCTGTTGTTTTAAGCTATCCAAGTTTGTCGTAACTTGTTACAGCTTCCCTAGGAAACTAATCCATGTTTTATGCAAAGAATTGTACAAAAATACGTTTACATATAAACATACAACTGGCCATTTTCTTGTGGAGACTGGAATTATGTGGCATTTCCGTCAAATCCACATAGAATGTAATCTCCTCAAGGGAAGGGAATTTTTCTTTGTTGACCTTTATTTTCTCTGCTATCTCTAACAGTGGCTGGCACATGACAGCGCCTCAAAAAATATTTGTTGAGTGAATAAATGTGTGCATGAATAAGTGAATCTGCAGCATTGATTTCGTGGGCTTTTTAGATTCTATATTTTAACTTCCTAAAGCACAAAAAAATAAGATCAACTTTTTAAAAATGCAAATGTCCCCTGCTATCTGAAGGTAGAGTGTTCCTATGAAATCTTTCCTAAGCTGAAATGGCATAAAGTGAAGAAGCAATTACTCTAGGACGTATCTTGCCAATAGATGCACAAAATAAATTGAGATACAGTACAGCTGCTCACAGATGCAGTTCAAAGCTGTGGTGGTTTGATGCTCCGATGCTG